GTGCTTGATATGTTAACTCAGTGTGCAGAAGGAAGAGCCGACTTCTTGAATCATGGTGCGGCGATTGCGGTTGTGTCTAAAAAGATATTGAGGGTCTCACAAGTAACTAGCGAGAGGGCGGTTAGGGTTTTGCTTTCGGTTGGGAGGTTCTGCGCGACACCGTCTTTGTTGCAGGAGATGTTGCAATTGGGAGTTGTTGCGAAGCTTTGTCTGGTGCTTCAAGTAAGTTGTGGGAACAAGACTAAAGAAAAGGCAAAGGAATTGCTTAAGCTTCACGCTAGGGTTTGGAGGGAATCACCTTGTGTCCCAAGAAATATGTATGCTTCGTATCCTGCTTGAAGAGCAAGATAGAACTACGTATATGTTTGATTAATTCTCATATCAGATACAAACCAATTCTTTGAGAGCTATTCTTCGTATAAGTTCAATCAAAAACAAAAACAGAGTGATTATTTTGCTCAAATTGTTAGATTTCTTTTTGTATTTTTCAAAAGTTCATCATCGTGTACGTAACAGTGGACTTTTTCATGAAACTACGAGAAACTGCAAAGAAATAAATGGAATCACAAGTTACGTGGCTATTGTTTCCCACTTGCTTGTTCATTATTGTTTTAGGCTCTTTATATTTTTTGTATTCTTCTAGTTTGTTTCCCACAAAATAATGGAGCACATCTCTTTCAACTTCCCAATTTTATTGAGTGGATAACCTAAAAGGTTACATCATAGTTATTTTAAGAGATATGTATATGTATGCATATATCATGCATGTGTAACGTTTCTGACCTACCATTTATGTCCGTGGAAGTAACACTGTGTATGTATGTTTATGCAGTGCGAATGTTCTACATCTCTCTATTCCCCCGCTATTGATTTATATATGGGTTCCACTATATATGGACACTGACGACATGTATCATGATTAATTTCATCCGAGGACTAATTTTTTATTCTAGAAATTCTTATGTAAGTATAGTTATCTGATTTTGTAGATACCAAAGATCCTTCATATAAATGTGCCTTTGTGTTTTATTGAAATCTTGTTACTGTTCAGAATAGATTAAAATTGTTTTAGATTCAAACACGTTCGATGGTAAAATGATTTTCGAAATCTCAATAAAAAGTCGTAAAGGACAATATAATAAGCAAAAAGATCTGAAAATGTAAATAAAAAAACTTTTAAAAAGCAAATTTTGCAAAGAAACTGCATTTGGAGGTCAATATATGAACCTAAAGCACGTTATTGCAAGTTTATATAGCAAGAATCTCTGTATCTAATCTATACACCTCGTTTTTAGCAATCAGAGAACATGGTCTTGGTGGGAACATGAGTTACAGTGTCGTTTTACGTGAGAAATTTTATTTGTTTATTGGGTTATTAGCTCAATATAGATTACTTAGGTCTGACAAACTTCCCCCCAGAGATAATTTCCGTTTGGATTACGTTTAATTTTACTCTTCCAAACAACACATTCTTTTGGTTTTTCTATCCTTTATAAACATAGTTAGTCATGTTCTGTATACAAATAATTTTGACAACATACAGATTCAAGAAGAGAAAGCCATTCAAGAAAGGAAAATATAAATATGTTAAGATATGCATTGAAAAACAACAGCATATGTTAAGATTGAATAAAAGTGTAACGCACATGAGACATGACCGGTGACGGTGGGCGTGTAGTTATTTACAGTGTTTTGTAGTAGTTAGTTTAGAATTGTTCATGCGAGTCAAAACTAAACATAGAATTCTATCATGCATCGTGTGTTCTTATTTGGTATTCTACTTAATTATTCTAAACGACTTAAGCACAAAAAATATTGAATTCGTTGATAATTACCCGATTAGAGAAAAAAAAAGAACAACAGCAGCTGAGTATTGACCGCCACTGTCACTTCATGGCTATATCACATTAAATACAGGGACTTGTGTATATTATAAACTTGATTTTCTTATAAATGCTTATATTTAGTTGTAAATAATAAATGTCATAAATCGAAAGTCAGATCTTACGAGCAACCATGTCGCAATCTAAAATGAGTTTTTAAAAACTAGAAAAGCTGGTCCCTCCCGCGACCACCACTTGCAGTTGTAGTTAAATGGTATGGAGAGAATATCGACAATTGTCAAAAATTATAAAAGATTTATCATTTAAAGAAATTAAAATTCATACCAAAAAAAAAAAAAAAAAGATTATCAATTAAAATTTTACAAAATACACGCGCGTGACGTACACGCACATGTGTATGTAAAGATCAACATGCATATATGGATACAAATAAAGGCGAACTGAAGGACTCTGTTCAATTGTACAAAATAAGAAAGGTTCAAATGTACAAGGACGTTAAGTCGGCACGGAGACCTGTATTACATGGAGGTGGTTTAACGTTTGACTCGGGCATCTTTTGTATTTTTGTTATAAAAAAAATCTTAAACTGTGATTTTGACAAATTTAGGTGTATTCGTTTTATTATATAAACTTAATTTGATAATTGAGGATCTTAAATTAAACTTTTTGTATCAAATCAATTCTACTTGATAATTTCATCTATTGTATATGATTTATTTTAGATGAGTTTTATTATTTTGTGGTTGGATCATCAATTATGAAAATGTCAAAATTTTACAACAAATACAATTATATTAGTAGAGTACCCGCACGTTTGTGCGGTGTGACGTTGTTGTTTTGTGTAGAAAATTTAAACCCTAAATCCGAACCCGACAAAAAACCCTAATCAAAAAATTTAAAAACCCAAACTTTTTTAATAGGTCTAAACATGAAAATCCGAAATCAAAAAAATCCCGAAAACCCTGACTGAACAAAAAAAATCTGGAAACTTTTTCACCCGGAACCCGACCCCAATACCTAATCAAAATTTTAAAATACTCAATTTTTTTAATATATCTAAACCCGAAAACCAGAAATCTAAAAAATCCGGAAAACCCTAAACTGAAAAAAAAAATTGAACCTAACCCGAACAGAAATTTTCAAAGAAACCCGAACAATTTATATATCTCTATAAAATTATGTCTCAGATTTTCACCCAAACCCGAACTTGTCTATAAAAACCCGAAAATCCAAAAAGCATATTCTATTGATTTGGAATTATCGTTAGATTATGTTAAGTTTTTTTTTTGCAGATTTTTAAGAGATGGAAAACGGAAGTTTTCTAAACCATCGGTTTATTTTAAGTTATTATTCTTGTATCCAAACAATTTTTTCCATTTATTCTTCTATCCAAATAGATTTTTCTCTTATTCTTATATCCAAACAACTTTTGTTTCCATTTATTCTTCTATCCAAATAGATGTTTCTCTAATTCTTGTATCCAAACATTAGAATGTACTTCTCAATTAATAATATAAAGATATGTGTAATGTAACTGACGACAATTTTCACCCCAAAAAAAACAAATTGACAATACAATTTACATGCTGCAAACACATATACATAGTAGTAGAATTGTAACTTGTAAGACTGCATAATATTGTACTTGTAGATATGCGTGTACATACGTTTTGTAATTCTCTATGTATATGTTTTTTTGGGTCGAAGTTCTATCTTTGTATGTAAATTACATGCAAACGCTAATTGCTCTCCCAAAGAACTTCGTTAAACAACAATTGCTCTCTCTATCTGCTCTCCATTTACGTTTTGCTTGATTTCTCTATATTGTACCTTCACAAGGAGCTTGTATGTGTGGCAGCTTAATGACATGAAAAGTATCCAAAGCAATAAATATCGGAACTTTGTGCCAAAGAATGTCAATCAATCCATTAGAGTTGGAAAACTCCTCTATCTTTAAGTATGATTAAACCTTAAATGGATATTTTAGCCAACAAAGTCGTTGTAGTATAGTGGTAAGTATTCCCGCCTGTCACGCGGGTGACCCGGGTTCGATCCCCGGCAACGGCGAATTTATTTTTTCCAACAAGAGCCTTCCTTAAAAAGCCCACTCTCTTTTCAGCCTTTCCAAACGGAGGACATTTTTCTTTATTTAAGTCTTGCATCATTTCTCTATATTGTTATACCTTCACAAGGAGCTTGTATGTGATTTTTCTTGGATCAAGTGGAGATGTATGGGAACGTGTGTGACGCACGAAGCTCGATGATAAACAACTTTCCAAGTTAACTTCTTTGCCTACCAACTTTCTTAATTTTCTCCAATCTGGCTAGTGGCTAGGTTACCAAATCTACATTCTCTTCTTCTTTCTTTTTGCTGTCTCTCTCTTTCAACAGACTAATTCTCGTTTAACTTATCTAATACAGTACATAGTAATAATAATTATATTTTTCTGAGAAAATTAGACACAACGACCAAAAACATTAAAATGCTGAGGTTCCTTTTTTTTTGGGGGTCAAAGTAAGAGGTTCCGTATATGAATATCAAACTCGTGATAAAATAATGAAGTTAGACCAGACCAACTAACTTAACATTCGTAGTCACTGTGAGGTGGAAAAACATAGAAATATTAGATAAGAAAAATTAGTTTTAGTAAAAAATAAAATCTGAATAAATTGTAGAAAGGGTAACAAAAGGAGGTAAACGAAAAGTAGGAACAAATATGCTCTTTCTCTGACACTCTCTTATGGAGAAGGATCTTTACACACACGCAGAGGCCAGAGGTAATACAAAGCTCACACGTGCACCCGTGATACACGTGCGTCTCACTTTCAGTGAATTGCAAGTTCAAGTAATTAACAAGCAAATCTCAATCGAATCCAAAGACAAGGACCTCCCACGTGGGATTCTTGGGCAAATCTTGAAAACGACTAATTATAGCATCGAGAACCAACCAAAAAAAAAGATATGTATTACACAGCCTATGGATACATATTACCCATAAATATGAACTTAAATTATCGAGTACTAGCTTAATGATCATATGATCTATAAGATTTCATATAAATGTGTATATTGTATGTATGATAAATATTTTTTTTTTGGTGTATGATAAATATAATATAAAAGTCTCCTTTTTAAGCAAATTAATAAGAGGATCATCATCCATCGGCTGAAAAATCAAAAGGACTCCAACTTCCGAACAAGAGGTTGGTGGAGTCATTGGAGTCGTCAGCGAAATGAACCACCGGTTCATGAACAGGCTGAACCGAACTCACACCAACAACATCTACATGGTTATGACCAATCAACAAAGCATCGGACCAAACACCATTAGTTTCAATAGAAAGAAGCTCTTCACCAGGAAATGGAGGCAACCCATTATATCCACATTCCTCCACAATGTGTTCCACTTGATGATGATGATCATTGATCTCCATACTCCACGTGGGGTCCATGGAAGCGTCAATTGGATTATTGCCATGAAAATCTGTGGCGAAATCGCAGTTTTCATGTGGTTTGGGTTTGTCAGGCTTAGGATTCAAGAAATTGGCGTAGACAAGAGCAAGATCGATGCTTGGTGAGCCACCACCACCGGAGCTGCAAGAATTAGCAGTTAGTCCGGTTTTACCACTATTACCGGAGGAAGACTTGGGGCGGCGTGATTTGCGGCAGCCACCGCCGACGGGAACGTTGCGGAGGGATCCACCTTTGGTCCAATATCTACGACAGCCTTTGCAGAAGTAGCGAGGCTGAGTGAGGCTATAGTTGTTGTAGTAACAGAACTTTGTATTGGAGGATCCACATCTTGGACAACTTGGCGTTATCTCCGCGTTTGCGTTTGCGTTTGCGTTTGGCCGCCATATAAATGATGACATCAGGGCCTCTGTTCTCTCCATGTCTCTCTCTCTCTCTTCTCTACTCTCTCTCAGAAATAACAATGTACTATATACGCATGCATGAATGTGTGTGAGTTTTTTGCATGTGGAGAGGGTGTAACACGTGGAGGGTAGAGAGTGGATGAAGTGTTGGGGAGCAATTGCCTCGTAAGGGTGCACTCACTGTTGCTTCTTGGGGGAGCCAGGGTTAAGGGTTTTTGAATCTTTGATATATTTTTGAATTTGTTATCATAAGATATGAATTAGAAAATGGTTAGTTAATCAGTAGTCTTGGATATTGTTTCGAAGCGAACTAAGAAGCCTATGGCGTCTTGGGAGAGATGGGTTCTTGGGTGTACATTGAGCTATTTGTACGGCTTAGTTAATGGAGACGATTACTATATTATATGCAGAAATACATATATGCGTCTGTTTGTTTTAATAGGAGGTAAAATCACAATTAGGTATATTATATATGTATATCAATAAGGTAGGAGTTAAAGTTAATTAATTAAACGATGAGTATATGTGAATAACAATCCTAAACCCAAATAAATAAACATTGAGGACGACGAAGTAAAGAATCAGAACTTCTGAACTTGTATAAAGACGTGTCATAGACTTGTTGTATCTATGAATACAAACTAAGGAAAGAGAGGGTGAAACAAGAAAGCATAAGTTTTGTAGAACAAGTATGGTCTCTAATTCATTAAATGTATACTTTGACTTGATTTAAGTTAATTATTTACCTCACAAAAGAGGGTACTTGGAAAGGAAAATCTGAATGGGAAATAGAGCTTCTTGGATCATGGGTTTGATGGAAATCTCCAAGAATCCTATATGGGTCTTACATTTTTTCTGTATATGTATTTTAAAAATATCTCCTGAAGTTACGTTAGCTTTAGCAGTTTAGCTTATAGTATACGCAGAAATTAGACCACCATCATAGTACAGGTTGGTTATAGAATAATATTTTACATTAGAAACTCTTGACATAAACTTGTTGAACATAATTGAAAACAAACATCAGAAACTCTTGCATGAAACATGATGAACAACAATGATAAAGATTGTTATCATAAATTAGATTTGCATGATATTAAAACTCAACTAAGTCTCCATTGCGTCAATCTCATCAACAAACATCTCAATTCCATTACCCACGCGGTTCTTGAACTCTCTTAGATTCTCGACCCACACCATGTAACTCGACTTCGTCGCCACAACATCAGCCGAAACATCCATCCTCTTCACCAACGTATCCGCATACTTCTCAAACCCAACAATCTTTCGCCATAACAAAGCACGCCTCTCTGCATCACTACCACTACTACTCCCGCTTCTCATCTCATTCAACCACTCTTTTGCTTCCTCAAGCTTAGCCCAAAAGCAAGGATCCTGCGTAGCGCTCGCATATCGAGTCCTCGCACGCTTCTCTTTCTGAGGCTCTCCACTTTGTTTCCACCACTTATCAATCACCACATACCTTTTAGGTCTATTCCCATTCTCCAAGTAATGACCACTAGTCTCCGGAAGCGGAAACTTGTACTTGTAGAAGTACGCAATGTCAAGTGGCTCGGCTAAGAGTTGATAGAACTGCGACGCGTAGACCCATTTCTTTCCCAAGTGAAAATCAAAAGGCAACTCATTCTTCTCCACCATTTCGAGCACACTGTCCCAGAATCTTGCTAGCTTTGCTCGGCTCATGTTAACCTTAATCTCTCTTTGATTTGAATACTGTCTGGACACGTCGTAGTAACCGAGCTGATTCGGTGACGCCTCGCAACTTTCTTTGAACCATTGAATATCTAGTCTCGACGGCAAGACATTTGCGAGCTGAATAGGTAACTCCGCTGCCCTCAAAACCGGAGCACGGCGGATTCTTGTAGCTGTTTCTATGCATTCTTTCATAGACACGCCACTCGGGTGATCAGTAGAGAATCCTAGGGACTCTACGGCTAATTCGACACCAGCTTTGTAGCTGTTGTCTGAGATATTCCCTCCAAGAAAGCTTCTAGACTTGAGAAACTGGTCAGAGAGTGTGAACACGTAATGTCTGTACTCCTCGATGTGTGGAGTTCCTGTTGTCGTGTTGAGTATTTGAAACATGCGACGAACTGAAGCAGCGTTGTCTAAGCAGACACCTCCGTTCTCGGAACAGAAGAGATAGGTTCCAAAGGGCCAGAACAGATCGTCGTTGCTTCTTGGAGCAAGGTCGTAGATGGAGACCACGTGGCAGAAGTTGTGTGCTAAACGAGAGCGGGAGATTGCGGAAGAGAGAGATTGGTTTCCGAGCAAAGGGGAGCCAAATGTGATGCAGAGGAGGTGGAATGACGGCGGCGAAGGTTGGGAGAGAAGCCAAAGTGCGATGAGAGCGGCCTGTGCGCCGCCGGTTGAATGTCCGGTTATCACCACACGCTTTTTTTCTTCCGGTTGTAATCTTTGTGTGATCTGTTAATAAATGTTGTTATACATTGGTTGATTAACCGAGCCTAGCGTAAACTAATTTGATGTATGAACAGTTTCCTCTACTAATGTAAACCAATTTAGAGACTAATGGACCGTTTATGGTTACTTGTCTAGCACTCATCACTATTTAAAAGACCTATTTTCCTATGTATTAGAAAACAAATCTCAAAATAATTTGATGCCCAAACAAAAAAAATGAAGACTAATGACTTTGCAGAGATGTGTGTTAACGTAAAGTCGCCTTTAATCATTTTATAAGCACTTGGCGGACGTGGTAACCAAACCAAAATTCGAGTTAACTTGCTTATCATATCCGAGGTCACGACAATGTCTTATTCATCATATATTTTATGGTGGATGTTATTGTATTGATCTACGCATCTTTTCTGGATTTCTTATTAGAAAAATAATTTAGATTTATATATCCATTTGTCTATTGGCTTGTTGGGGTTGGTGGTGATATTCTGAAAAAGACACCTTTTCTTTTTGTTTTTGGTAAAAAATACACCTTTTTCTAGTTGGTAAAGATATAAAGAAGACTGAGATCTTTCAAATTTAAAATGAATGCTTTGTTCATCTTTTTGTTTGCTCTACCGATTTGACACTAGTGTTAATTTAAGAAAATTCAGTTTTCTTCATAAAAAGAACTAAATTCTGATGGAACTTAAGTAGTTAAGAATTTCCCATAGTACCAATTTAATTTGTTTCTTTGTTCCTACGTCAACGCACTAATCGAAATTTCATTGTATGGAAAATAATAAAATACTAATATTTCGGGTAAATCAGTGTTATTGAATCAAAACCAGGAAATTAAAAAGCTGGCAAAGAGGAAACAAACCTGTGAATGGAAAAGGGCAAGCGAAGACTCTAAGCCCTTGAGTATAGCAGCGTCGACCATAGGAGGAGGCTCATCGGAGGATAATGATGTAGATAAGCCGGAGAAGTTCCCTTTTTGGATGACTTCCAAGGCCACGAGATCGCCCAATTCAGTCATCTTGATCACCGGAGGTAAAGCAACGTAGATAATACCGGCGATGTTCTGGATCTGAATACTTCTTGCGCAGTTGGCGGCGTTGCATAAAGTCCATGAATCTGACCATAAAGGAGTCGACATCATGAGCGACGCCTGTAACTCACTCGTCTCGTATCGGCACTCTTCCATGACTCTCGATCGACTACTACTCGAGTAGTAGTCTTCACAGAGAGACAAGGTTTTGGGTCTGTTAATAAAGAGTTTTAGAGGAAGAAGTTTAAGGAAGTTTTGCAAGAAGTATCTAAATAGTTTCTTGCGTCTTTCTTATGTAGTTTCCTGGTTCTTGTCTTTTGCGGGAGTCGTCGTCTATTAGTCTCCTTTCTTTATCATCATAGATATTCGATAATTTTAATTTTTTAAAAACTAATAATATAAAAAAATGCACTGAAGGGCTTAATCATTGTTTGAGACTTTGAGTTAGGATATGCAAAGGAAAACATTTGATAGTCCCTTGTAACCTGAAATGGTTTAGACCTAAGCTTAGATTGCAAGCTCTTGCAACTTTTCAGAGCTTTTATATATGTAATAAATTTTGTGGTAAGACCGTAAGAGCATATCTATCTTCATCGGAGATTGCCGATCCATCAGCTTATATGTGAGTGAGACATTGGATTTTTTTAGGCATAGCTTTAAAATGAATTAATTAACTACCCAATAGCATTTTCAGCTCAAGATGTTAGTGATTCAATATGGCCCATAAAAGTCTTGCAAGTTAGACTCACCATGACTTAAGGAGACTTTTTAAGTTTGTGGTCTTTCTCTTCAGACATAGACACTTGTTATGATTTTGTAATCTACTGATTGAAAAAGGAGCGAAAGATCCATCACATCTTGTTATCACTGTTTGGGCTGTGTGTGGGACAACTAAAGAGTATAAACAGGGGCAAATATAATTCGGAAATGGTTTGGCCATTGAGGCATTGGAAGATAAACCTGATGAATGATTTAGACTTAATCATGTATTTGAAACACTATTGAATAAAAAATGGTAGAATGAAAGAGATCATCTGAGTTCTCCCAATGCCAGGAAAATAAATAGACCTGAACAATGATCATTGCAGATTTACCATCTAAAAGCAGTCTTGTGAGTTCTATCTAAGTCTCTATGAGAGAGGGATATACTTTTGCAGTTTGCTATATGAACTGAGTCATCGTCCCAAGTCTCCTTTCTTTTATCATCATTAATTTTGTTAATCTCACAGTTTAAGATAAAAAAAAAACAAACAAAAACAAAACAGTGAAAGCTCCATTGCTGTCTTTTTATCATTGTTTTGGCTCGATTTAGGAGTAGGACAATACAAAATGCTAATCATGGCTTTTAAAGAAAATATATACATCTCTGTTGAGTACAAAGGTGCTAGGACAAAGAATTTTAAGTTTTTTTTGTTGAGTACAAAGGTGCTCGGACAAAGAAAGTTAAGTGTTTTGTTTTGTACTAAAGATTTCAGTCATTCATTTGACACATAAACAGTTCCTCTACATGACTTCTTCTAAGTAATGGTCTTCCTCTACAATATATAGTCCTTGTTTTCTAATAGGCATATCAATCTATAGAGTTATACCATCTAATGTATAATCTTTGTAATTGTTAGGTTCGATATATTGCAAGATATATCAACATGCTTCTTGTGAAGAATTATACCTCAAACAATGAAGTCAATTAATCTTTTCCATATGAACATCAGATTCAAGATAGCAGCAGCATGCATTTCCAAATAAAATTTGACTAGATCATAAGTATCGGAGTGATTTTGACTCACCAAGTCACATAACTATAAGATAAATAAACTGTGAACAATCTGTTTTGTTGAATCAAATCAAACCCACGGATTCATCAATACACGAGATGCAACAGATACAAATCAGCAACTAACTTTGATCTGATTAAAACCTAGTTTACATGCTCTCGTCCGACGACTTCGCAGCGGCAGCGATTGCGGCGGCGACGGCTTCCGCGTCGGCGTCATCGGGGTCTTTCGTAGGGTCGGATTTGTCAATGGAGGAGCGGAATTTTTCGAGGAAAGGCTTGAAAGCGAGCTCTATAGCTAACCATCCAAACGCCAACGCTGCCACCACTACAGTCGCCTGTTTCGTACTCGAAGGTTTCCCCATCGCTGCTGGCTTCGTCGTCTCCTCTTTCTTCGCGTGTCAATGGAATCGATGAACGGTTAAGATTATGCGATGAGCTATTTTAGGGTCATTTAAAATGGGCCGGTTTGGGCCTTTCATTTGATTAAAGTTTATTGACAAACGCAGACTGCAACATTTTCAATTTCAAAACCGCGTTTTAATAGGACTTTTCGTCCTGGTCGTTAATAAGGACTTTTCGTCCTACTCATTCAATTAAACTCAATTATAAATGCACTTGTAACAAACACGATTTTGATCAAGCTTTCGAACCGAATTTTCAGCCATGAACGATCTGCTCTCCCGCTCTTTAATTCGCTCCGTCGCGGACGATTCATCGCCGCCACACTCGCACAGCGCCATCGAGATGCCAAAGACCATGTTCTTCGGCGGTGGGAACAACCTCGACCTAGAAGAAGGGCAAGGTTTATTAATCATATCGAGAAACTATTAATAATGGAGGTTTAAGTTTCTAAATTTGTGTGATTATTATGGTTTATAAACATGATGATGTTAATGAGATATATTGAAACTACAAATAATGCAGGGGAAAGGGAAGCATTTTTGCAGAAACCAGCGATAGAAGAACAAGGTGGAGGTAGTGTTTTGGACAGAGTTAACGAGTTGCAAAAGAGAAACGATGCACTAATACTGATGAAGAAGAAATTTCGAGATGTTGAAAATACTTGTTATATGTATTTGGTGATTTTGATCATTGTTTTAATGGTTTTAGGGTATCTTGGGTTTTGAGTGTTGTTATAAATAAGTAAATAACCCTTTATGATAAGATTATGGCCTTGATTGTTTGTAGTTTTTGAAGTGGTTTTTGGTTTTAGTTTCTTCCAAAATCTGTTTTATTGCCATTCAAGATTCTGAAAAATAAGTTTTCCTACAAAATGGGGAATCTGATTTTTGAGTGTTTCAACCAATTTTCAAAGAAAAACTATAATCTACATTTTTGCAGATTGTCATGAAAACCAACGATTTTTTTTTAATTTTTACTTTTACAGAAAAATCAAAATCAAAAACCAAAATCTATAATCAGAAACTAAAATCCAAAAACCAAAATCTAAAATCTAAAAACTAATCAAACATTCATGGCCTATATTCAATTTATGATTGACTAAATATTATTGAGCTTTTGTCTCTTTCTCTTATGTTTTCGGGTAGATCTATAAAGATCTCAACAATTTGAATGAGAGACATGGTTTATTTGGGAATTCTCCTACTATTTATTCCCTTATTTGAGTTTAATGTTTATTTTCCCTTAATTGAGTTTTATTTTTTTAAACCATTTATTCCGATCGACTTCATGGAAAACTGTATAGCATGAACAAATTTACAAAAAGCAGAGTTAAATATGGAGTAATGTTGTAAGAAAAGCACAAGTGCCGAAAGAAATTAGTCCCATTAACTCTCAGGAAACAAAGTCAGTGATAAATGGGACGGTTTGGGATTTAATTTGATAAATGTTAAATCAGAAACTAAAATCCAAAAACCAAAATCTAAAATCTAAAAACTAATCAAACATTCATGGCCTATATTCAATTTATGATTGACTAAATATTATTGAGCTTTTGTCTCTTTCTCTTATGTTTTTGGGTAGATCTATAAAGATCTCAACAATTTGAATGAGAGACATGGTTTATTTGGGAATTCTCCTACTATTTATTCCCTTATTTGAGTTTAATGTTTATTTTCCCTTAATTGAGTTTTATTTTTTTAAACCATTTATTCCGATCGACTTCATGGAAAACTGTATAGCATGAACAAATTTACAAAAAGCAGAGTTAAATATGGAATAATGTTGTAAGAAAAGCACAAGTGCCGAAAGAAATTAGTCCCATTAACTCTCAGGAAACAAAGTCAGTGATAAATGGGACGGTTTGGGATTTAATTTGATAAATGTGCACTATTAATGTAATTGAAAATGTTTACTTTTTAGGTTTAGCATGTATATAAACTTCAAAACAGTAATTAAAAATGTTCTTCCACTGCTATAGTTTCATTTTTCACATATGTATGCAGATTGTGGCCACAAAATATGTGTGTGTGTGTGCGCACGCGCACGTTTATGGGCTTGATTGGTTGTGGCTGTGGCTTTAGATTTTTGGCTGTAGAGTTTAGGATGTAGGTTTTAGTGCTGTGGCTTTAGTTTTTAGTGTTGTAAGATTTATTTTTTTGTAGATTATGTATTAAATGAAATATTAAAAAAAAAAAAATATAGAAATAAGAGATTAAAAAAGGATATAAACAAAATAATAAGGGAAGAGAAGAGAGAGAATTTAGAGAGCACTAAATTTAGTGCTCTAGAAAAATTGCTTTCCACAGCTACGGAACTTCCATAAATAAATAAAATTGCTCTATGTTTCAAAAATGGAAAGAAATAAAAGGAGAGCATGATTGGTAAATTTGGAGTGCTTTAGAGAGATATAGAGCTGTGGAGAGCAACCACAGCTCCCACCAATCATCCCCTATATTTGTATTTTTATGTTATGACAATAAGAATTAAGGGAAAATAAACAAGTTTAGTTCAAACATTTAATTTCGTTTATACTTATAAATATAACATTTATTGGATAATAATTGTTTGGTTTAAATGTCAGTCTAAACAAGTTTGTGCTGGTAGGTTGAGTTTTCCCGATTGCATTTTGTCCACTCCTATACGGCTATACGAAAGACAAAACGAAATGAAGAAAAAACTACCAAAACTACCGGATAGTTGAACAAAAACTATCAAAACTACCACAAATGGAGTAAAACCAACACCAAAAAAATCATATCTTAGAAAAATGTTAGCATTACAATATTGGAAATGGACAGCGACGAATTCAAACTTTCGTTTGTCTATGGCGACTAATACTAATTCGCATTTTACTATCTTCCATTTTGCTAAATTTCAATACATCACATTCATGGCCTTATCCACTTTCCTGGAAATTCTGGTATGCTTCTCCTTCAGCTATTTCAATTAAGCTAATCAAACCGACCGGTTTCAACAATCAAACCAACCAAGAAATTGCAACAACAACAAAAACACTCTTCATGAAAAGAAAAAAAAAATTGTATTCTGTATTCTTTTTGACAGCCAATAAAACGACTTCTATGGTGAGACTAATATTATACGAGGTAATGAAATTTGACCGATTAATCCAACATAATGGTTTAGTTAACCCAATATAATCGCATACAAAATACTATCTGGTACACGAGGTGGTTTGGTTAACCCAAATATAATGGTTTGGTTAAGAAGACGTGTTTCGATGGTAGACTTTAATTGACAAAGCAAACAGCACTGTTAATTTCAAAACCGCGTTTTAATAGGACTTTTTCATCTCTACTCGTTCAATTAAAAACTCAATTATAAATAAATGCACTTGTAACAAACACGATTCTGATCAAAAGATTATCTATTTTTCGAATTCCTTTGAACCGAAGTTTCAGCCATGAACGATCTGCTCTCCCTCTCCTTCAAGCGCACCGTCGCGGACGACTCATCGCCGCCGCACTCGCACAGCGCCATCGAGATGCCAAAGGCCGTAGTCTCCGGCGGAAGCTGCCACGGCGGGAACAACCTCGACAAGTTCTACCTCGACGTGGAGGAAGTAAACGGAGACTTAAAAGAGCTCGATCGTCTCTGTCACAGCCTCCGATCGAGCCACGAGAAGAGCAAGACGCTTCACAACGCCAAGGCGGTGAAGGAGCTGAAGGCGAAGATGGAGGCCGATGTCTCGGCGGCTCTCAAGACGGCGAAGCGCGTGAAAGGAAGCCTCGAGGCGCTGGATCGTGCTAACGAAGTGAACCGGGGTTTTCCGGAGAGCGGACCGGGTTCGTCGTCGGACAGGCAAAGGTCGTCGGTGGTGAACGGGCTGAGGAAGAAGCTTAAGAACGCGATGGATGATTTTAATCGAGTGAGAGAGACGATCTCGACGGAGTACAGAGAGACGATTCAGCGTAGGTACTTCACCGTCACCGGTGAAAATCCCGACGAGGATACCGTCGATCGCCTCATCTCCACAGGTGAGTTAATTTTAAAATTTCAAAATTCGGTTAGATTTCAAAAGAGCAAGAGAATAGCTTAAGGTTGTTATTTGTTAATCATAAAAACAAATATTAATTTAGCTTAGATTTTTTATGATTATGGTTTATTAATTTAAATTATAAATATTTGCAGGGGAAAGCGAAACATTTTTGCAGAAAGCGATACAAGAGCAAGGACGAGGTAGAGTTTTGGACACGATCAACGAGATACAAGAGAGGCATGACGCAGTGAAAGACATTGAGAAGAGCTTGAACGAGCTGCACCAGGTGTTTCTAGACATGGCTGAGTTGGTTGTGCACCAGGGTGAGCAGCTTGATGACATTGAGAGCCACGTGAAACGAGCCAATTCGCTGGTTAGGTCCGGTGCTGACACGCTGGTTAGGGCGCGGTTCTATCAGAAGAACACGCGAAAGTGGACTTGCTGCGCCATTTTCTTGTTGATCATTATTGTGGTCTTGGTTGTGTTGTTTACGGTTAAGCCTTGGCAGAACAATGGTGGTGGTGGTGGTAGTCAAGCTACTCCGGTGCCAGCTCAGCCACAGCCAACTCCTCCGACTCCAGCCCGGCGGCTACTTCGTTAAAACTATTTTGTTTTTTGATATCTTGGTCTATGCGTAGGCCTCTGCTTTTGGAGTTTGATTATTATCTTTTGTAATGTTCTTAAAATCATCCTCGTGTATAGATATCATCATTCGTTCAGGACATATTATTTGTTTGATCTTAATTATAAGAAACGCAATATGAAACTAAACATGAATTGCATAATCTGTGTGTGCTAATGAAAGTCACATCTTGATTTTAGAATTCCTAAAATGCGCCAAAGTCATAATTTGCTATATTGTTGACTTGACTCTCAATTAAGCAGATATTAAAAACTGATTTAAGGAAGTGGGCCTTGAGAAAGCCCATTAGTATAGATAATCAAAATCTCACTATTGGAAAAGAAAGGAATCCAACTTCCGAACAAGAGTTTCTCTGTTCTCTCTCTCACAATGGCGTCGTTGAGGATGATAGGCAAGCCAAATTTCAGGAATATTTTGAAATTATTTTCATCGATTGATTATCTTTCTTATAATGTAAAACGATTCAGTGTTAACTTATGTGATGTGTCTTTCGCTTTTCTTCTGATGTGTTTGTGTAAGATCAGACATAGCCGTCAACTTCACAGGTCAGTTGTGAATATATAATCCTTCTCTACTCAAATTATCTTCTACCCTATACGAGAATTGTTCCAATTAAAACGATGCCGAATTGAAACAGATGGTATGTTCAAGGGGATTTACCATGGCAAGAACTGTCATGTTCCCGACATTGAAACCGTCTTGAACCGAGCTTGGTCTGCCGGAGTCGATAGAATCATAGTTGAGTCCCCTTTATCGATTTTTCTTGTTTTTGTTTTAAATGATTAGAAATGTGTAGAAGCTGAGTAATTCAAATTCCAATTTTGCTTGATCAGGTAACTGGTGGGTCATTGGAAGAATCAAGAGAAGCTCTTGCTATTGCCGAAACTGATGGTTTGTGTTTTTAAATATTCATCTGTTTACTGAAAAGTTTCCTTCTTTAAATCTTATTTTTATAGTTGTGAATGTTCATTTTCAGGCAGGTTGTTCTGTACGGTTGGTGTTCATCCAACTAGATGCAATGTCAGTTTTTTGCGTTACATTAATGTCATTTCCTTGCTTTTGATTATTCTCAGAGTTTAACATGTAATCAAACTCTAGTCTTGTGCTTGAATCACTCTGTAATTTCATATTTCAACAGGAGTTTGAAGAGAGTGGAGACCCAGAGAAGCATTACCAGGATCTTTATTCATTAGCCAAAGAAGGGATACAGAAAGGGAAGGTAACTATTTCTTCTCTAATAGATACTTTGAATTTGATTAGTGCCGTTTTCGTATTGCGGTTGTGTTGATCTCAATAAATATTTAGGTGGTAGCAATTGGTGAATGTGGATTGGATTACGATAGGCTTCAATTCTGTCCGGTTGATATACAAAAGAAGTAAGTTAGATCACAAAAATTTGGATCTTTCCCATGTTTGAATGTTGCTTTACTCTCTCTACTTACAATATGTTTATCTTCTGTGAGAAAAGGTATTTTGAGAAGCAGTTCGAATTAGCAGATGCTACGAAGTTGCCTATGTTCCTACATATGCGAGCAGCTGCTTCAGATTTCTGTGATATAGTTGAAAGAAACCAGAACAGGTGAACTTATACGCTAATGCTATCTTACATTCTCTACATTGCCTTTTCAGTCATCTTAATGCATACTGCATGATCCACTCTCAGATTCACCGGAGGAGTTGCCCATTCGTTTACCGGTAGTGCATTGGACCGTGATCAGCTTCTTTCTTTCGACAAAATGTACATTGGTAAAGCCGACTCCCATTAGCTTTCCACCATTAGTAAAGACTATGCTTGGTTTATATTTTGCTGATATGATTCTATTGGTAGGTGTGAATGGCTGCTCGTTGAAAACAGCTGAGAATCTTGATGTAATGAAAGGGATACCGGTAGAGAGGATGATGATAGAAACCGACTCTCCATACTGTGACATCAAGAACACACACGCCGGGATGAAGTTTGTAAAGTCGACTTGGCCTTCCAAGAAGAAGGAGAAGTATGATCAAGAATCCCTTGTCAAAGGCCGTAACGAGCCTTGTTTAGTTCGGTTAGTGTACCTTCTGTGATTAAACACTTGTATATACATACAGTCTCTAAGAACACTTCTTAGGCAATCCTTTTTTTTTATCTTCAGGCAAGTTCTTGAAGTGGTGGCTGGCTACAAAGGAATTGGCGATATAAATCAACTTAGCTCAACGTTGTACCACAACACTTGCAGGTATGTTTTGTCCATCAGCCATAAAGAATCGTTCTGCTGTGAAGCTTTTGTCCTGATGGATTTGTGTGTATATTGTTTCTGCAGAGTTTTCTTCCCTCAGGACTTGGACTCTGCTGCAGATGCTCTGCTTTCCGGTCACCACGAAACTAACTAAGCACAAGTCATAACAAAAAAGTCTGCATTCTCTTTGTAATCAAGAGATTTTACATTACACCATTTCTGAATATTACAGCTCTATCTCATAATAGTATCTTCTTCTTTAGCCTCAGTAGCAAACAACAACACAGATTTAAAAGACAGCAAAATTTTCATTCTATTGAAACTTGTCCGGAATCTTGTGTGCTTTTGCTGCTTCATGCACTAACATTCGAAAGCACCTCACTGCTCTCTGGACTACTCTCTTCAGTCTCTCCTTCTGCTACAGAAGGAGGAGACTCAGTGGCGGCTCTCTCCGAAGCCAGATTTAGCCTCAGGGCTCGTCCTTCAACTTCCTAAACAACCAAAACCGAAAAACCAAAAAACAAATGAATCACCAAACCAAAACTGATTTTATCCAAAGAAGAGGGATCAAAGCCTTTACCACGCCATTCATAGCAGTAAGAGCAGACTGAACATCTTCTGCTGACCCGAAAGAGACGAAACCAAATCCTCTAGACCTCCCAGAGTTTCTTTCGTAGATGACTTTAGCACCAAGAACACCAGGTTGATCTGCAAATGCATCTTTAAGACCCTGTGAGGTCAGACTCCACCCAAGGTTTCCCGCATAGATCTTGTGAGGACTGTCGACATAACTCCGGTTATCGTCACGGATCTTGGTTCTCATTACTTCTCTCTCTCCGCCTTTTGGCACCTCCGGGAAGTTCACTTTCACTGTTCTTCCACCAATTTGCTACCAAATCAACACATACATACACACAAGAGATTGAGAGACGTTCTTGAAGCTGATCAAAAGGGAAACACAACGATGGAAAACTTACAGAGCTGTTAAACATCTGAATCGCTTCCTTGGCTTCTTCAATGCTCCCCATCGTCACGAACCCAAATCCTCTGCTTCTGTCAGTGACTTTATCGTAAACAATCTGCAACATCCAATAATGGCCAGCAATTATACATCTTCAGCCGAATTTTGGTCAAATCGACGCACAATTTGAAAATTTGAAACTATATTGCAGAATTTCGTGAAGGTTAGAGATGAGGAAGATGGTGAAATTATGGACCTGAACGTCGACGACGGTTCCAGCTTCTCCAAAAGTTTGGGAGAGATCAGAAGAAGTGATTGTGTATGGTAAATTCCCAACGTACAACCTCCCTTCCTCACCACTCGCTTGCGCCGTCGGTTTTTCATCTGCGTCTTCTTCTCCTTCGCCTTCTTCTTCTTCTCCTTCTTCTACTTCTTCTTCTTCTTCTTCAGATGGCGCTGGGATTGCGTCTTCGGCGGCGCAGAAGAAGCGGTGGGGACGGATATTCGAGTGGAGGAGTAGTGAGTTAGGGCAATTGGCAACGAGTTTGAAGGATTTGGGTGGAAAGCGATAGAAGAGTTGGAAATTGGAGCGGGAGGAGAGTAGTGAGTTGAAGGTAGCGGCGGAGGAAGCGGTGGCTGCGGCGGAGACCGCAACTGCTGAGGGACAATAGGCTGACGACATTTTAGTGGGAGTCTTTGGAGGAGGAAGAGAATGGATAAGATGGATTTCCTTCTCTATGGTTTAAGAGAAATGAAAAATTGAAATTAACATCTACGATTGGCCAAATTTAGCTTTTCCCCAAATAAACTGAACTTTTGTTTCAAGTTTCAACGTGAGCTTAAAAGCGTCAACAGATGAAATAAAACTACAAAAGTAAACAAAAACTAGATAATAAGTTTTCGAGTAAACAACATCACAATCTGGTTGTATAGATATTACTTAAGTACCATCTAATCTTGAAGTTTTTAGCTGGGATTTTGGATATTGTTATCCTTCAATCATCATTTGTTATCCACCATACTGATAATTGACTTGTTTTTGTTATGTGATACTTTGCAAATTGGCTTGTACTAGATCTGCACCGAAAATTGCAAATCTTATTTTTTCTTGATTTTTCTTAACTAGATAAACTGTGTTTGCTTGTACTATATCAGATAACATGTTTCATGTACAAACAAGAGTTAAAAGTATCACACAAACTACCGAAATATAAGTTTCACATAAGTTTAAAGTGTATTCGTTTTGAAGAATCTGAATCTCGACTCCTTTTTCTCTTTGCAGAATAATGAAATTAAATTCAGTGAGGCTCTGAAACCTAGAAACCTATAACCGGAGAGATGAGAAACCAAGAGAAGAAGAGGTGAGAAGTGAAAAAAATAGCGCAACAAAATTCAGAGTGGAAAACGGATGTACAAACTTTCTTATCCGCCATTGTTATTGTTCTTCAAGTGGCTTTCTTCGGTAACAATCTCTCGTCAGAAAAGGAAGAACAACAATGACGGATAAGAAGGTTTGTACATCCGTTATATGCTTTCTTTGTTTTACGTCTATTAACTAAATCTTTTTAACATTCAAATATTTTAAAGCTCTTTTTAAGACACAACGCAAGTTTATCATAAATATTCCACTTTGTTATTGTTTCTGATTCCAAAATATTTCACTCCAAAACCACATTATTAATCATATATATGAATCTACACACTCTGAAAACTTTACGATAGGATCACTCGACTAAAGTGCTACTAAAGTCTACGTCATATAAGTATTTTACGATAGGACTTAGACTCCCACATTTTCTGGATAGAACCAATTATACGAGAGCTTTAACGGGGTCAACAAGAGCTTTAACGAGCCAGTGTATTCCTTAGTATGTTTCACTTATACCTTGAGTTGATTTGTGACAAAAACGCTCCAACATCCGAACAGAGAGGTACCTCCAGTTTTGCAGTCTTTGTTTTTGAATGTATGAATATGGTTTTCATCAGCACACACCTACATCATCACAGAAACAAAAACAAAAACAAACGAAAAGTGAAAAATTCTATACATGACTATGAGTTTCAATCATCAAGCGGAAGAGATTGTTGTAGCATCCGAAGAAAACATGCAGTCCCATGTCGATATGGATGTCCTCGAGTCATATAAATCCCACCTGAAACAATAATAAAAAACTTACCATTTTATATAACCAAAATAAAAGGTAAACTACTAAAAGCAACGATTAAAACACCTTGTGACCTGATCCAGAAGCTCTACAGCAGTTGACACGCCTGCAAGTCTAGGTCCTACACAATAGCTTCGTAGGCATAGGCCCCTTTGGAGGACTGTCCTCGTATTTGACTCTTGATGACTTTTGGTCCAGCGTGTGTTGCCGTTAACCAGTAAAGTGTTTGTTGAGCCTTCTAAGCTTGATTTCTTGGGCACTAAGGTAAGACCATCAAAGAAGACAAAAATACGTTTCTAATGTCTTAATGCAGTGGTGGAAGATTATTCATCCTACTTGTGAAACATTTAATGGGTTACTTCTTATTTTGAGGGCTTATAAGTTAGAACCAAAAACAAAAATCTGAAGACGTAAATATCATTATTTTTGTAAGAAAATGTTGGAAACTAACACAAGTAACTCAAGCTTCCAAAGACATAATGCTCTCAGAAATATCGCAATAACTCATATGCAACGACTCGGTCTCAAAAGGGCGATCCAGCAATTCGCATAATACAACCCCTCCTATGATCTTACTAGTCTCCAAATCGTAAAGGATGTGCAATGACGAGTAAGTGTTAAGGAAGCACCTAATGACACCCTCACGACTGGTGCCCTGAATGGACAAGTCACCCTGGAGGACGATACGGATGTCTGAGATAGGCACAACAAAAGTCTTCTTGTTCGACCATTGACTCTTCCCGGCATCCTCCACAACCCACAGGTCTATACTACCTTCACTCGAGAGACGGGTGTAGTCAAAGACAGCAACTTTTCCTCTATACAACTTCATCAGATTGGTGGCACGAGTGTCCCACGTGATGCCAGCTTCAAGGGGTAATTCAATCAGATTGAAATCCTTAGAGCTCATGTCAAAACTTACAAGCACACGTGACACGTGTACTCTCATCACCATCACCATCACCAGTAAAATTGCTTCATGTTCTGAATTGGAATCTGAGTGAGGTTTCATGTTGTATTTTGGTGTATTTTTTTTCACGGTTTCGCTTTGGTTCTAAAATTCTCCATGTAGGTCGTTTGGCACAGAGGAAACATACGTAAGAAAAAATGTAAAGTTTTCTGCCACATTCATATGCTATGTAGTAAATGTAACAACAAACCAAAACAGCGAGCCGTGACGGATTACACAACAGAAACAATGGAAAAGGGCAAAAAAATCCAAACAGATTACAAAATACGGCGAGTAAATGATTATAGGTCTCACTGGCAGAGACGGTGGAAGTCCATCCTATGGAGTTTGGACCAAAGAATCATATTGCAAGACCAATCAGTTTTAAACTACAATTTATCATCATCATATTACAACGTGCCAAAAAATAATCATTTACATTATTAATTTTTTTTTTCTCCCTCTGTTCACTTTTTTTTAACACATGTTTACAGAATTATAAGATTCTCATGTCCTGATTTAATTTGGCCATGTGTGAAATTTCATTGACATGTGGGAAATCGTGAACCCATCATCGTGCATGCTACCTCCATCAATTTACCTGAAAGATATTTAGAAAAGCAATTAAAAAAATTAGTACTCCAAACAGCGTGTTGTCAATGTACTGAATTAACAGGAGTAACAAGGATGTATTTTCAAAATGATTGATTCTAATATCTAACTAATGCTCAAATAAGTAGAAAATTCTATAAGAGAAAACAAAAAATCCTTAAATTTGAAGACAAATTGAGATGGAGAAAGAAAAAGGAAACGGCAAGCTGTCTTTATCAACCAATATGACTCACAGCCTCGCAAGACGGCTTTAGAAAAAGAAAAGAATCACTTTGTGATTTTCATTTTCACTCTTAACATGGGATTCTTCGTCGGTGGATGATTTAATATAGTTATATAAACCCAAATTATGCCCAAAACAATCATATAATATTGTTGAAAATAACATTATCATACCAAAGTTTGTTAGAGAGACTTTGTCTCCATTCTCACACGTCTATACTTTTTTTCCCAAATCTCACTTGTTTACTTAGCACTCCCATAGAAAGACTAATCATATATGAATAATCAGAAATTCAGAGTACCTTTTCTATAATCATCATTCAATGGCTTGTATTTGTTTAATTCGGGGTTATTCTAGCTTTATGACTTTTGTAATAATGTTTAGAACATGACAAAACAAAAAACTTTGTAATAGTGGTATGTATTTGTTTAATTCGTGGTTAAAATGTCAATATCAAATACCTAAGGACCAAAACTAAGAGTCGTTAAAAATTGATTACCTCTCCTTGGTTTAGAGGCTTTCTTAACGACTGGAGCTGCCGTTTTCTTCTCGACCGGAGTTTCTTCCTCCGGGAACAAAACGCCGTCAATCCCCTGAACCGAAATACGTCCATCGGTATAGATATCGGGATCGAACAAATAAGCCGAACCGTCACCATGACCGAATTTAACCGAACCGTCTGCCTCCTGAGCGTCTACCTTGTGAGGAAACCGGAGTGAATCATACCGAATTTTCCCAAACCGGCGTACGGAATTGTACATACTCTCCTCGGTTTGGTATTCCGGTATGATGTGGTAATACATAATTTGCTCTGGCGCTCCCGGTTCGCTCAATTGGTCTGTGGTCAGCTTAGCCATAGCTTCGTCGTTCGGAGCCAAGACGGTCAAAACGTAGCCTTCCGACACGAGCCGACCCATCTCGGTGGCTAAAGAAGTGAGATTAACGAGAATATCCGCCATTTCGTTGTACCCACCGTAATGGAGAAGCGTGTGGATGAAATCTTTGACCTGTGCCTCTCCGTTGAAATGGTGTCGAGGCCCGCCCGGTCCTGGTGCCGGAGCCGGAGCGAGCGACGGACCGGGTGACATTGCGTCGTAAACCGGGAGAACCGGTGGAGCTCCGGCGGGGACTGGAGGAGATTTTTTCTTGAGACGGTGGGTTCTCGGGTCGACTTCCGGCGCTCCTTCGGGTAACACGGCGGAGATTGATCGGAGGTTACGACGGCGGTTGAAATCTTCTTGCACGGAGCGTGGGATTAAGAGACGTTCGATTCCGTGGATGATTCCGTCGGGTCTGGTCAAATCGTCGGGTCGGGTGATTTCGGCGGAGTTGACTTTTCCGGCGGTGAAATGGAGGTGGTCGTTGGAGAGTGTGCGGTGGCTGGCGGCGGCGGCGGAGTTGGAGAATTGAGGAGAAGTGATTCGTTTGGGGAGAATGTGGAACATTAGGAGAGCTTGTAAAGATTTGAGGTTTTTGGGTTGGAGCAAGAAAGATTTGAATTCGGGGTCGAGGTTTCGTTCTAGAGCTTCGTTGCGAGGAGCGAAGATTGTGATGTTGTGGTGACCAACGGCTTCCTCTAGAGTTTGGAGGAGAAGAGCTTTCTCCACGAGCTCTGCTAGCTCGGTGTAGTGTGAGTCGAGGAGAGCGACGAGGACGGAATTGGAGTTTATTTGACCCGACCCGGGTTTATCGGGTAATGCGGTGGCAATGGAGAAAGTTGAAAGGAGGAGGAAGAAGAAGAGCTTGGATTTGGATAGACCATCCATGGCGATGGAGAAGGGAGGAGGAAGAAAGTGTCGGCGAGTTGAAGAAAGGTTTTGAGTTTGTTTGGTTTTGTGAATTAAGGAGAGGTTTTGAGATGGTGATGTAATTGTGATTGTAATGTTTCTTCTTCCTTTTTTTGATTGTTGGTTTGTGTTTCATTTTCTTGATTTATTTATGTTAATGATTTTGGGTGGGTGGGTTTAATGCTTTTTCTGGTCCACAGGGGAAATAGATGCATAGTGACGTAATCTGAGCTTGAAGCCAAGGGTTCAGCTTTTTCGACAATTCTCAGCTCTATGGTCTTTGAGTTTGAGCCTGGTGTCGTGTCTGTGTGTGTCGGTTACTCAAATGCCACAATTCGAGTCAAAAAGAACTTTCCGTTTTTGTCTAATTACAAGAAAAGAAAACATGTTTGATTTCACAAATCGAAATGCTACCCATACTTGTTATGGTCACCATGATAATGGAAGATGAGCTATTTAGCTTTTGGGTAAATTGCTACTATTAGTTGGTTTTGAAGTTAACGTGAATAAATTCGCATGATAAATAAGTAGTATTTGTTTCCAGACTTATTACAGTTGAGAATTCGGATTTGTGGAATTATAATTGTATTATGAAACGCTTAACATTATTTAGTGACATAAATAAGAGGAGGACAGGTAAAGAAAGGAGAGATCACGGGCATCTCAAACAAAGTGTCGGTTGTGACTGTCGAAACTCAGAGGGAATTAGCGTGGAAATATAATTAAATATTACAATGATATATTGCCAAAAAGAATTAAATAGCCTATAGTTTATTGACAACCCAATAAATAAGAATTAAATAGCCTATAGTTTAATATGATTGTGAATGCTAGCCGCCTGAGCACCACCAATTCTATTTCCCTTATTTTTCTTAGTTATAAGCGACACTTAGAAAACATATCTCCCCTCTCAAAAAAATTCTAGAACAGCGAACTATTTTCTTACTAAATCTCTGATTATTTTAATGATTTCGTTGAACCATAGAATTCTTGCCGGTAATCCTTTGTACAACTCAGATATTTATGTTTCTCTAAGCATTTCAATCTAGATCCTCGTGAAATATTAAAATCTTCCATGGAAATATATATGTCTACCTTAGTGTTTACCGTTTACGCCAAGCCTTAATCTAGAGTACGCATTGATTCTCTTACGTACATGCCGTAGAACAATAAACGGCGACGTTTCGGCTGCCGTTAGTTTCTTCGTCGCCTTCAAACATATACCTTTGTTGTGAAGCTCCAATCAAAGTCGGAAAAAAAAAAGAAGGAAAATAAACGTGTCTCCAAACCGTAGGTTTCTGAATCGAGAATTTACTCATGACCAGACATTTTACAAATTTTCAAATAATCGTTTCATTAAAACTAGCCAAGAAGCCCGTGACATGAAAATGTACTTCGAATGTATTAAATACACAATGGTTGATATAGTGAAAACATCATATTGTTCTATTGATGTTATGAAAATGTTTTTGATCTAATACATTATTTTTAAAAAGTCTCTGTCAAGGCTTTTCTTAGTAGGAAAAATAAAATTGATTAAGCAATAATTCAAGAAGAAACTGGTTAGGAATCTTCTCTGTTAGATGTTAGATGCGAACTATATGGCCAGTTTTGATTTGGAAGATCTTACAATTCAATGTAGATGCGAGTTCTCTATAAAATCAATTTTTTTTTTTGGGACTACAGTATGATTGCTTCATATAACTACTCTTCGAATTAAAGAAAAATATAAAATGAACGTGTGTATGAAATTGATGCGTGAGATATTTGGATCGTGGCATTTAATGGAACAACAGACATTTATATTTCAGACAGCTAACTGGTCTATGATCTGGGCACATGCACATAATAAAACGTAAGACATTTTGAAAAACATTGCATAATAGTAAGAAACTAAGAACTAACGCTATTCACTGAAATACGGAGTATTATACTATTCTTTTTGTGCACAACACTGAAATATTATTATATATTTAACCTACTGTCGACTAAAATACTATACACCCATATGAATTAGATACAATTCAAGTCATTTTGTTATATTATAATACATTTTCTCTCCTTAGGAAAAATGAAAGAATCTCTTTAGCCAAATTCGTGCTAATGAAGAATAGAGATAATTTAACCCCAAAAAATAACTATCACATTTAGATTTATACACATTGGTAGGAGACAAAAACAAAAGAGTTATGTTACTATCAAATATGGAGAATGCTTATATCGCATATGGTGTTAGGAGGAAAAGAAAAAAGCTGCTGAAAAGAGAAAAGCTTCCCAAATCCATAAGAACAATTCGATATTCATACTTGCTGAAACTCTTCCTCAATCGAGATGGTTTCCACCAAAATGGGCCTCAACCCATCACTAGCCCAGTCTATATATATATATGGGAAAAAAACAGACCACATGATTATGACTTCAGAGTTATAGTACTACATACGCTAATGATGGTGATAATCGGAAAATAATCTCCTCTCTTAACGAATAAGAAGCTTCTAATCGATTAGTCCCTTGTACCCTCTTTTTATGTCGTCATCCTCACTTACTCTTCTTTACGGGATGATTCAAAATATTATTATAAGAATATGGTTGAATAAAGTATGCATGTCGTCACGTTGTAATCGTAAGAAGATTAATATTAATCAAATGAAATGACCAATTCCATCTTCTCGTAAGCCACATTTTAATTTGGCCTTATGGCCCTTCGGTTTGTTTACGATACTCTTTTCATTACTTTAAAGACCACGTTTCTAACCAATTGGTATTAACAGTTTTTTTATATACTCCAAATCTTTGACAAATCTTGAATGTTTGATAAGTCTTTAACGCTCTTCTGCCACTTTACTTCCCGAAAATTATTAGTTTAGGCCTGACTTTGTGAAATGTTGCGTTCATACGTTAATGCAAAGATAACGTAAAGTATTAACCGTGTTTTGTAGTGTAGTTAATTAACTGGTTTAAAAGGTACTTACTTCAACGTAATGAGATTTGAGTTCAAAGTCCCTTCTGCTTAAAACAAGTCTTTGTTCAAGAAGGTCCACGGTTCAATAAACCAACACTTAATGGTTACATTTAAAAAAAAAAAAACAATCATATATAGCTTTTTATCCAGGGTTTTAACTTTTAACTTGTACTGTATTCAATGGAATAAAAATCAATCAAATGAATAACACAATCACTTGCCATACTACAAGAGTACTATGTAGTTTTGACATCCAACTACTATAAATTAAATTTGTACATCTACTTTAGAAGCTTATTGTGAAATTTAATTATAACACTCACAAGATGAAATAGTGTTTAATTTAAGAATGATGAAAAATACTAAATCTGTAAGGTTTGGGTAAATTGGTACACAAAAAAATTGGCGGATTTGTAACTTCAGTTATGACCTAAAGATCTTTTTTATTTAATTAAGACATAAAGAGATTTTGACTGTATAGAAAAGTGATGATAATATATCATAAACAAAAGTCACAATCTTTTCATATAAGATAAAGTCACCTTTAACTCAATGTAAGATTAATTTAGTAGTTTTAATAATTCGTTAATACGTCACCCTATTGGACCACCAATCATAGTCATAAGTTATGTAAGGCCAGCGAATCATATGTATGCAATTGTAAGCCTATTGAGACTTACGCTAATAAATCACAAGAAACGTTACAAAACTTAAGTAATTAGCAATCACATTTTGTATTTACACAAACAAAAATATTTACAGGTAAAACCCCTCCAAAACAAAAAAAAAGGAAAAGAAAAAGTTAAAAATATTGACCCTGTGACAGACCTGCCCAGAGATTCAGATGAGAGAAAAATCCCAAAATTAATTATGAAAATCAAATCACAATCCAATGAATAATTACATAAGACTCCTTTTTTGTTCAAAAACTTCAAATAGTTGCCGCCATCTTCAATTGCTTATCGAATTTGGCTTTGGAGGAGTGTCTCCGGCGATACTCTTTGTTATTCCCCGACGGCTCCACCACATCCGCCGCGAATCTCACCTTCTTCTTCATCACCACATTCTCACGCGATCCTGTCACAGAAAAAAACGAATTTTCCCCCAATTTTTCAATTTCCATAACCAATTTCGATAATAAAATTACAAAAATGGAGAAATGCAGAGAGGGTTTTTCGTACGGATTTCGAATTCGAACTTCTCCATGTAATCGGAGAGGAGGCGCTTGTGAAATTGACTCGCGAGAAACACGACGCTTCCCGAGACGGCGAAAACCGCCATGAATCCTAACGAATTATCCATAATTCTCTCTCTCTCTAGGGTTTAATATCTTCTATTAATAATATGTGGATCGATCTCAATAGTGAATAGTCTCCGGTCGATGGATCTCGATCGGGGGAAAGAATCTGGTCGGATTAAGATGAGAGGAAGGCGAAGGGATCAGGGGACATGATGGCAGAAGAGAGGCGGAGAAGGAGAGAGGAAGAGAGAAATGGAAGAAGCATTGCGAAATGAGAAAAAAAAAACCAGAACGACAGAGAGGATAGAGAGAAGGAGGAGATGGTGTTTTCTTTTTATACACAGAGCCATTTTTTTTCTTATTTTTAAGATTTTTCTTTTTCCCACTTTTGGTCAACAAACAACTCATAGTTATTTTCAATTTGATTCAATCGATGCGTCATAAATATACACATATCCTGTTAATAAAATGGTTGCCTATCTTATATTTTTATTTATGTAAATTAAAAAGCCTCACCATGTCACCACCTCTTCATCATCTTGTTTGTTTTTATCTGAATGATCCAAGAACAATTTGAACTTCTCTCAGTTTTGTTTGCTTGTTCTTGATGATGTTTTACCCAAAAAGAAAATGTAATATTTGCTTTTCTTTTCTTTAAAATTGGGATAAGGCGGGAATTCTCAAAGCTAGATTTTCGATGTTTAATACACATATATATATATATTTTTTGTTATCTACCGTCGACTTGTTTTTTGTCCGATCAGCCGCATTTGTTTGAAGACACTAAAAAGAAAAAAAAAATTAGAATCTTGTATAAAATTGAGATATAGTAACTGCCAAGAATAGAATGATTTCATTTTCATATATTTGTCCAATGTGTGAAGGATAGAAAGTATGCTTTCTATATCAAAAACGAACTGATTTTTCATAGGATAACATAAAAATAAAGAGAGATGATGAGGACTAAATAAGTCAGGATATAGATATGGTTCATTCTGAGATGTGGTTCCAGTAACATCTACTATGGGTGTGTCGACAGGTGGTGTTCGTTTTTTTGTTTTTCTTATAATAAAAAATCAGTTTCGTTTGATATTGTTCTGTTTTGTAACATTTTAGTTTGGGGAAAAATATATGAACCAGAGAAAATATAATATTCATAAAAAGAACTTAAAAGGTAGGAGAATCTTGTCCAGAAAATAATCTACTTGCCATAAGAGGTCTATTCATATTGACAAGACAAAAAGATTCAAATCTGTTGACCAAAGTTCTAAATTATAAGGGAATAAACAAAAAAATTTGTAGTCATCCAAATTTAATTAACAATGATGTGTAACAATGGGTTCTAATTAGTTAATGACTCTAAAAGCATCCGTAAGCAACAATGGGTCCATAGCTCAGTGGTAGAGCATTTGACTGCAGATCAAGAGGTCACCGGTTCGAACCCGGTTGGGCCCTCAACTTTTTATATCCATTTTTATTTTTTTTCCATAAACCTCCGTCCAATCTCAAGTTTCTTTAGAAACAAATTAAAAAAACTTATAAATTCCTATATGAGGGGAAATGAAAGACAAATCCTGAAGACTATTCATATCAATCTCCAAGTTTTTCAGATAATCCAGGAAATGTAATCATCCTTTCTCTCTGATTCCTCCGACCATATCTGCTTCACTTGTTCCCACACCAAATCTCCTCCCTGCAAGATTTCAATTCATCTTCCATTTTCATTCAAGAATCAAAATGCATAAACAAAGCTCATCTTATACAAAATCCGGGAATCTAAATAATACCTTTGAAGAGAACTCAACAGTCGTTGTGCAGCATTTACGCTCATCCTCTGCCAAAAAGTTAACAAACAAATCAATGTCATATATAAACCAATAGGACTTGACTATAGTATTCAGTCATCAAATGTCAGATTGCAAAAAAACATATTTACCACATTGCTCCCACTTATCAAACTTGACAATCCATTTCCCAGGAGTTGTGTCTATCAACAGAACCTGATCTAACCAAACCCAAAACTTCTTCCCTTTCTTGTCACCATGATGCTTCCTCAGCTCATCAATGGTGTCTCTCAGACATTTCTCTTCACCTGATGGATGCAAAAAGACACCATCTTTCTGCTGAAAATGTTACAAGAAAAAGGTTATTAGTGCTGTAGGTTCACAGATATTTTAGTTCCCATTTAAAAACATCTAATGTTACTACTACTCACACATGACTCTTTGAAGCTGTCTATGTATGTCTCAAAGCTCTTGATCTCACCCTGTCTCAATCTCTCATAAAACAAGTAGAATCTCAAAACCTCGTGACCAACATTGTCTGTTTTCCGATTCAAGAACTCAGAAACATCTCTCGGAGAAAGACTTGGACCAAGCTTGAAATGACTAATGGCTTGGATAATCCCATTTGCACACCTCTCGCTCGAATGTATAACCTTTGAGTTGTCTAAAGCATTTTCAGAATGCCATTTCAATAGCTCTACTTGAGAATTACTCACCTTCACAAAACCACATAGACAACAAAAAACCAGTCAGCTTCTTGGCAAGAATTGAGGAGAGAGAGATTGTGATGACTGATGAGTGTAGCATTACCATGACACCATGAACATCAGGAATGCTAAATAGCTCAGCGTCGTGTTCAGAGTCACCGCAAGCAAGAGTATTCACCGGGAGCATTCCCTGAGCCTTTAGCTTCTTGAGAAGATACTCAAGAGCTTCTCCTTTTCCTCCACCTCTTGGTATAACATCCAGATTCTTCCCCCAACTGTAAATGATCTTGACATCCAACTGAAAAACATAAAAGACAATACCATCATCACAAACCTAGAAACAAAAGATCTCACAAGAAACAAAAGCATAGGAAGATAAAGTAAAACACTTAACGCCACGTTTCTCCAGCAATTGTGATAGTTCCTTGGTCACTGGCTCACCTTTACCTTCATCAATGTAAAAGCTGACCTTGTGCAGCCTCTGCTCTGTTTTTGGCTGAAGAGTTAGCTCAGGGAACTTGCTGCTTTCTTCTAACACTATCTCCCGGTTCCATTTGTCACTGTTCAAGGTCTCAACCCAAGAATGATCAGGAACCATGGAGTTTCCAAACGCTATCTCGGTGCCAATAGAGGTAATGATGATGTCAGGAGTCAACAAAGGTTTCTCTTTTCTCAGTTCTTTGTAGAGAATCGGTGATCTTGCAGTTGAGAAGATGAGAAGAGAGTCACGGCGATAAGCGTATTCCCACAAAGAATTGAACCGAAGAAGAGAAATGTTCTCATGATCTTGATGATCAACCTGTGAAAAAGAAACGTGATTTACATCAAGAAACCATTTTTTCTTTAGCTGAAGATGTTTTGGATGAAAGAAAAAAAACAGAATCAGATCCTTACCATGGTATGATCAAGGTCAGAGACGATCATGAGAGAAGGAGGAGACTTCAGCCGCTCCATAATCACCATTTGTAAAATGTCCTGTGAATTGGTAAAGAAATTATACTCAACAGATTCACTATTGTTAGAGAATTTAGGATACATGCTCTGTTCTTAGCATTCACAAAAATTGATAGTATGTAATGCAAAACTCTGTAATTTGAGAGAAATCAGACAAAATGTCTAAACTCAGTTCACTAACAATCACAGACCAGATAAAAATCGATTCTTGGTACCAATTTCAAGCATCAAAAACCATAAAGCTCCCACATCAACTGTTTCTACAGAGATTTACAGGTCCCAAAACATATACAAGCAATGCATTTGCCGCATTTCTCTAAGAAAACTCACCAAAAGGAAAGAGAGTGAAACCCAAAATCAGAAATAGGAACAAAGTGAAAGGAACAAGGATGAAAGAAAACCTTGAGAATGTCGATTCTTCTTCTTCTGCTTGTACTTCTTCTTGTGCAAGTTGAGGAGAAAACTGGAAAAGATTTTGCTTTTAATTTTTTTTTTCCTTTCTCGAGAAGAGAAGGAATATATGAGAGTCACACTAATCGGCGTGTTGGAGTTACAGCGATAGCCCACAAGGACCACGTAGTTAATGCTTACCCCATCCACCCATAAAGCCAAGATATCAACGGTCAGGATCTCTTGAGCATTATAAGAGGAAAAGAATATTTGTTTCTCTATTGTTCGTTTCTGTTAGTTCTCAGCATCTGTCAACAATTGAGAGATAGATTCCTCTTTTTCACCTCCTAACTCCCCAAGTCAATATATGCCATCAGTTTTTTCTTTTAATAGAGTAAAGATTGAAACTTTGGTTTCTTCTTCAAACAAGTAGTGAGAATATACTACTATATTGAGGTCTCTCTTATTAGTGGAGCCTAAAGTTGAGGTTACCACTTCAACTAATATTAAGTTATTAACTAATACAATGCTAAATAGAATACCTTAGAATTTGATGGAGCTTAAGCTTCTAAGATCCAGTGATTCTAAGAATACCATATTACATTAAGCTTAAGTAGACTATTTATATAAAAGAAGTTAAAACTATTAAAAACCCCCAAAGATAACCCAATTGAATTAGGATAACTATAATTAACATACAAATGAATATTCATCTTTATCCTAAAATTTACACTGCATCAGAATCTGTGGACACCATTGAAAGTTCATACTTTGAAGTGGATTATCAATAAGCTAAGCTTACAGAATTTGGAAACGCAAATATAGTAAGTTGTTTTTCCCTATATACATTACAAATTAAGTGGACAATGTAAATGGCTTTTGTATCTAAAATTAAGTAGGAGAGTGGAGCTTCATCCTTCGAAGAGAAATGTAGGCTAAGAGACGGTAACCAATGATCATAGCAACAAGAGCACTCACTTCCTTAAGCCCACTCTCTATTTCCTCTCCATTTACGTTTTCCATGATTTCTTCATATTGTACCTTCACTAGGAGCTTGTACGTGTGGTAGTTGAATGACATGTAACGTATCCAAGCAATAAATATCGGAACTTTCTGCCAAAGACAAAAGAAAGAGTGTCAATCAATGCATTAGACTTGCAAAACTCTTTTATCTCTAAGTATTACAAAACGGATCCTCCAAACAACAAAGTCGTTGTAGTATAGTGGTAAGTATTCCCGCCTGTCACGCGGGTGACCCGGGTTCGATCTCCGGCAACGGCGTATTCTTTTTGCACAAGAAAGTTGTATATATGTTTTACCTTGACGAAGTAGCCACCAGCAAGCATGAAAGTCATTACAGTTACAGATGCTAAAGTTGTGGCCTTCTTCAAGTCCATTAAGCTTGCCCCTATTGCTAATCCAAGTCCCTAAAAACAACATTTTGCAATCATTAAGTACTAGTTAGCATGCATTTTCTGTTTGGCATGTACTTTGTTTATGTGTACACACCTGAGCTGCAACGATGCAGAGGAAGACTGTGAGCACACTCAGGAAAAATGATTCAGCTCTTAATCTCAATCCAGCCATGAAATATACAACTACTAGGAAAATCACAGGTAGTATCAAGTCAAGCGGGAGATCACTTGTGGTTCTAGCCACAAAATATGCACTTAGTCTATACATATTTGACTCTCGTTCCTTGCTCAGCATTGCTCTCTCTTGTGGAAACGTGAAGATCGCTGTGAATACCGGAAAGAATCCCCAGAAAACAGCAATGAAGAAGAGTAGCCCTACCTGATATCAAAGACAGAGTTCCCATTTAATTTTCAAGGTAAGATACTAATTAGTAATTACAACTAATCTCTAAGTCAAAAACATTTTTTCACTTTTCATACCTGATCTTGTAGGCCTTTGGGGTGTTGAATGTCTGATTGCCACCAGAGTAAACCTAAGATGATGGCAGTGGAGAGAACTTGAGTGACTCTCAACCAGCTGAAATAGTCATGCCTTCTTTCTTTGAATCCTCTCAAGGAAAGTATGCAATACTGTTCCCACCACCTTAATCCCCATTCTCGCTTGGGACAAGTTATCATCGCTTTAACTTCTTCTTCAAGAGGAACTGGATCCATAAGTTTCTCCTTTTCCAAGACTTCAATCTGTGTCTTGTAAGCTTCCTCAAGATACTTGTGTTTCCGCATCAATATCACAGTCAACATCAATCAAATAAAAGGATACATTTATTGATATGTAAAGGTATCTCATTCTTGTCTCACCTCATATACAATCGTAGCACTTGGCTTCTCTCTGCAAGAATTTCTCATCTTCGCCTTCTCTTTAAGAGCTGAGGGTATGGAGATATCGTTCATGTTTCCATTAGCTAAGTCTAGCAAGAACTCTGCTGGGTTCATGGAGAGTAGAGGAGAACATCCTACGGAAGAGAAATATGACATTGCTTCTGATGCTTTCCCAAAGTAAAGCAAGCTTCCTCTGCTGAGAACAACCAGCTTGTCAAATCTGTGAAAGAGTCTACTTGATGGCTGGTGGATTGTTGTTACGACAGTTTTCCCCGCCTGCTTGCGTAACAAGTAAGAACTTGGATATGGTCAAATGACTCAAATCCATAGAAACAAGATTTGTAGCTGTAAAGACTACAGAGCGAGTGTCTTACCTTTGCTATGCTTTGTAGCATCTGAATAATCTTTAGCGCAGTAGTAGAGTCCAAACTAGAGGTAGGTTCATCAAGGAGAAGAAGCGAAGGATTAGTCATGATCTCGTTTCCAATACAAACTCTTTTCCTCTCACCACCTGAGACACCGCGTACAAATGACCCTCCAATCATTGTGTCTTGGCACCTAAAACAATCATAGAACTTAAAAGGAAGTGTCTAAGTTGTTAGATGGTACGTAGTAGTATATGATTATGTACCTTTCCAAGCCAAGCTCCTGTATAACACTAATAGCTCTTTGCTCCTTCTGCTGCTTTGTGAGGACTTTAGGGAGGCGTAAAAGAGCTGTGTAGGTTAGTGTCTCTTTTACAGTTAAGTGAGGGAACAGAACATCATCTTGATGTACAAATCCAATCCTGCCATGGTGCTTTCCCATGTCAACTGTACACTTATACATATTCATCTAGAGACAGAGCTTTAATCTTCTAATTACCTGGTTTTCAAGTTCTTAGAATATGGCTTATCATTGTAGCTAACCAAGCCACCGATGTTTTTCTGATGAAATCTGCCACCAAGAAGATTGAGAAGTGTAGTTTTTCCACTTCCAGAAGGTCCCATGAGAGCTAGAAGCTCCCCTGGATATGCTGAGCCACTAATCCCATTCAAGATGCTCTTTTCTGATGAAGATGCTATTCCTTTTGTTATTATCACCTTGTATGTGATATCTATGAACTGCATAGCACATGATGAGAATTGATTAGGTTAGTAAGTTTTTCAGGGAAAAAGTTTCTATATGCATGCGTTTACAAGAAAAGCATAATTTTTCCAGGAAGATGGGACTTAAATTCTCTCTCATTTATACAAGACAATAATACCAATATAACCATACCCTTTTGGTCCAGCGTGAAGCTCTGCTTCACATGTTGCCGATAACCAGTAAATTGTAGTTGAGCCTCCTAAAGCTTGACTTTTGGACACCAATGTTAGACCAACAAAGAAGGCAAAACAGAGGTTTCCAGTGGCTTAAACTCTTAATGCAATGATGAACATTATTCTACTTGTAAAGTATACGCATTTCTTCTTTATGAGGGAATTCTTGTTGATTAACAAACATCATATGAGATACACAACACCCACTGAAGTTGGGACTGACCAATAGTAGCAAAATCTAATATATTTTCTATGGACTTTTTGGGTGTTGATGATATAGATACATATCTCCATCAGTGCCTGCGCTCAAACAGAGAGTATCATAAAGATCAATTTCCCCTGTTTCTAATAAAACTATCTATCCACAAAAATGGGTTACCTTGAGATATATCGGAAAGGTTGGTTCTGCTTGAAACTTGACCACACTACTAGATGCTGCTTCAATATCTTCCACTGCAACATGAAAGAATATAAGAAACAAGAAACCAATAATCTTCCAAAATATTACATCAAGAAATGGTTTTCTTGCAATTAGGTGCCGTGTTTAAAGGTTTTCTTACGATTTTCGTCGTTGCTGCATGATCTGTCTGAAGAAACGATCTCTTCATGTGGCAGGGTGAAGCCAGTGAAAGAGAAGGAAAGGCCAAGGGAAGCACTTGAGGCTCGGCTAAGAGCAGCACCACCAGTGAGACCGCTAAGGTCAAGAGCAGGGAATGCACTCTTGGCCTTCCTTATGTGTGCGTTCCTTCTGTTTTTGCCGCTGCTACTGTGGCTTGGCGATGATGATGTCCTTGCCATCACATTCTGCTTGCTCCCATGGCTGCTGCCTTCACCATTGCTGAAATCGAGTGAACTAGACTTAAGTGCTTCAGCGAGTGTCTCAGATTTGGCCTTGACCAAGACTGATGATGAGGTTTCCTTTTCCATCTTGTTTCCTCACTGTTGTTGAACCAAACCTCAAAAGAATTGATTTTCTGTTGAACCGTTAATTGACCTTAAAGTCTTGTGTTGAGGTTTTAGGAAGCTCTCTGTTGTGCTTTTTTTTTGCTTGGACACACACAAACATCACCTCACCTACTTATAGAGAAGGGAATGGAAGAGTCAGTTTACGGAAATACCCTGAAATGCACACTCTTTGGGCCATAGACACGTGATAGACATGAGACGATGACCTACGAAGTAATCTGTTCTGGCTAATGCATTTTACAGATACACGTTTTGCTTTAAAGAGGAAATGGTCTTATCTTCTTTGAAAACAGTTATTAGCAAAAGGCCAAAGCCTGACTTTCGGTAGAGAGAGCAGAAGAGGGTAGGAGAAGAGCACGTGGATCTTGATCCTTTTGACCAATAAAGATCTGTCTTTCTACTTACTATCCAGTGTAAAGCATTAGTATTTGACAACCAATGAAAAAAAAGTGTGAAGCATTAATGCTGTGTATATAGAATATGCTCTAAGTGACTAAGCACAATCCTAGTCAATACTGATTTCATGTAACTTTACAAGCAGTAACAAGACTCTTTGTGTTTTGTGTTGCAGAGTTGGTTGTTCATTTCCTAGACAAGCTTGTTACCAAAACTACACAGAGCAATGTCCTTCCGATTTCTCTACTTTGACAAAACGTTTAATGGACCTCTCTATCTGAAAGAGTAATAGATATAATACAATTTGGTAAAGCATACAAAGGAAACTCATCATAATATTTCTACTTATTTTGTCGTAGATACTCCACAACTCTTTCTGCCTGCAGGACAGAAAACGATAACAATTGATCAAACTCAAGCTTTTCTTTCACATTACATTACATCATCAAAGGGATCTACTACGAAAACTATCTGGATCTAAGTATTATGAAAGTACATATGGATCTTTCAAACAACAAAGTCGTTGTAGTATAGTGGTAAGTATTCCCGCCTGTCACGCGGGTGACCCGGGTTCGATCCCCGGCAACGGCGATTATCTTTTTTTTTAAACTGAAAGCTGTATTTTTGTCTTTGCACCTAATACAATAATAGTCACAATCTTCTAATTCAGTTCCTTGGTGAAATTAAGCACCTAGAACATAACATGATGGTGAAATTAAACTGTGATAAGAGAAAATATGCAACAATGACGAGCCAGTGATTTATTCATGAGATCTTTTGTCACTCGTATTATTCACTGTAGAAGGAAAAGAAACAATTTTATGAAAAAAGATAACTAAAAACCAAATGGGATTTGTCGTCATTGTCTCATTGGGTCTCTCCAATGAAGGGATCTCAACATTGCTTAAAGGAATGGTGTACTTATTATTTTTATGATTGGCTCACAAAATCACAGTAGTAGAAAAGAGAAAGAGAATAAAGTTTGTTTTCCAGGCCGGAGAGGATGGAGAAAACATGATCAGTATCCCCAGTAGTCGTTACGGATTTCGTCATCAAACTTCTTCTTGAGTTCTGGGTGCTTCTCAAAGTACTCATCTGCAGTCATGGTGCTGAGCTTTTTCTGATTACACAAACACCAACACGATCATCATACAATCAGGATCTCGAGGGCAAAAAGTATACACAACTTCATATAAGGGAATTTGTTTTCTTGAGGTACTTACGCTGATTTCTTGGACATCAACAATTTCTTTCTCTAGCCTTTCGGACTCTTTCAGCGACTTTTGTTCTGCTTCTTTCAGTTCCACCAACTACATATAGCATAACAGAAAACAACTAAGTTCACTGAAAAAACCTATTCAAAAACATTATAAACAATCGAGTTTCTAAGCTATTGCTCACCAAAGCGTCAAACTTTGGCTTGTATTCAGGGGTAACATTGTCCACGTACTTGGGAATCTCAATGCCTGCACCAAAACAAACACACAGCTTAGTTTGTCAAAAGCTTCCTTTGGTATATCTACATAGTAACAATAAAAAAAAAAAAAACTGAAAACAGCAACTACGGGAATAGGGAACTATGACGAATTGCTGTATCATGACAAATATTTCAGCATTTTTGCAGACGACCGTGACAATTATAAACTGCACTAGATTTCAAGACTACACATACGCTCATAGGTTGAGTAAGAAGACAGGTTATGTTCAACATTAAGATTTGCAGAAAAGAAAGAGAGCTTACTGTCATAAGCTTCCTTGTACATGTCCACAATGCCAGACCCAATACCCTTTCTGTAGTACTCCCAGTCTATGGGTTCAGGTTCCTATACAAATCAAGACGTAAAACAAGACATTAGAGCATGAATGATATATCTTTGGAAGTGGCATGATAAGAATAACAAATTCAAATTCTCAGAGCACAAGTAAAACGAAGCTACCAAATATCAACAGAACATGATCAGCACCGGTGGCAAAATTCGACATTTCAGATGCAAATGAGCAAATAAACAAAGGCTAGGAACAATGTTTTCCGATCAATACGTCTTAAAAGGAAATAGATCTTAACAAAATATATATATATATATATATATATATATATATATATCTGGATCAACTATGGGAATATACGAACGAGTGTCACCAACAAACAATCTGAAATCGTAGGAATTCTTCAATGAATCACCTGATCCAGATTACTAATTGTCGAATCGAGAAATGATGAAAGATCTAAAATTCAAAACCCAGCAGTCGCAACAATCGGAGACGAATGAAATGGATGAGGTAAAAAATCAGATCGGGATAAGGGAGAATCGGAAGAGAACCTGACTGAACTTGGTCTGGAGCTGCGTGTTAACCTCATCGAAAGCACGACGGAGGTTAGAGAACTCTCTGCGAGCCTCATCGGTGACGAGGACCTTAGCCATACCATCCCAATCTATAGTCCTCGACGCTTTGAAAGCCACATCCGCGATTTTCTTACCGGCTCCGCTCATTTTCTCGCTCTTTCTCAGTTTTACCCCAAAACACACTGAAGAAGAAAAATGAAGGAAGAAGAAGAAGAAGAAGAAGATGTAAATCGTCGTCCGATCCGACCAATAAAAGTGAAAGCCCTAGAATCCCCAAAAGGCTTACAGGCCCTTTCAATTTCACTTTAATTACAATTAACCCCTTTATTGTTTAATTTTGATAAAATGACCCCTTCACTTTACATTGCTTTGGCTCTCTTGGAACAACAAATCTTAATGGTAATTGGTAATTGGTAATTGGTAATTTGGTACTACGTTCCATGTGTTATTGACATGAAAATTACATTCTTATGGCTGTAAAAACCATCTTGACATCAATACTTTGCAAATAATCAATACTATTGCTTATATATGTCTCCTCATGAGTAGAAAGTTACATGAACAATCAGAAGTTAACCAATAAAAAAATCAAACGAATAAATAAGTTTGTAACAGTAAAAGAACCCAAAAACAAATCAAGACAATTGCTATATAAACAAAAACAGAACAGAATCTTCTCTGATATCACCTCTGTTCTAGACTTTTGCCTAATGCAACAATGTCATTTATAAAAACTACATCTCCTTCTTAAGCAAAACCATTATCTTTATTGTTGTTACCATTGCTTTCCAGCTTCGGAGGACCTGAAAACCGCCTCACAGTCTTAGGAGATCCCGGGAAGGACAACCGTTTTTTGGCCGTCTTCTCTGAGCCTAGAGGACTAAGGTTTGAGAATCTTGCTTTTGCTTTGGCTGCTTGTGTAGGCGCCATGTAGCCAGGAACTGAGTGAGAACGTGTACTGGTTAAGCTATCATCGTCTCTAGTTGACGCAACTGATCCGCAAATGCTATGCCTACGGTTGCAAGGTTGTTCTGATTGGATACTCAAGTGGCTCTTTGAGTCTTCATCACCAGTACTTGGGACTTGCCTCACTCTCGGACTTGATGACACTCTTGTACTATTTGGTGTCTTTCCTTTCGGTGAAGGGTTTCTGTTGCGTGGAGTTATCTCGGACATGGCTCTGCTTGCTACAGAAGAGTTCTTGTCAGCATTGTCCGGTGCGGTTGCCATGTTCTCGTTTGGTCTTGAAGCCATCCAGCGTTCTAGCCAACTCCAACCCCAATGTGGGTTGTTCGGGTCCATGAATGTTTGAGAACCCAATCTAGATGAGTTTTTCAATGTGTTCTGCATATTTAACAGTTTTCACTATTTTAAGATTCTGGTGCAAAGACATTAGAGTAAGATAGAGAACTAGCATGATATATATACCTGATGAGTATAAGCGTATGCAAGAGCTTTCTCTCTTCTCATTGTTGCTACTTGCTTGTTCAACATGTTTGCTTCTACTTTCTCCAGAGACAACGTGCTATCATCCCAATTTTCTCCAGTCTGTTTCATTCACAGAACATAATACAATCATTAAGTTTGTAGCAAGAAGCAAAATGTGATTTTCTCAAGTATCCAAGATGAAGAAGAAGCGAAAAGTATGAAAATTGAGGATTTACTGACCTTATCAGAATCTTTGTTGTGTTTCTGTTGGAGCTGTCGTGCACAAGCCTGCTTATCCTCACACAATCGTTGCCTCCTCTCACGAACCTGATATTGTAGTCTAGCAAGTGTTTGCATGCTTTGCAGTGTCGATGTAGCTTGACGTCTCACACCTTTCCCTTGGATTAAAGATTTTAGCCTCACAAGCCCTCTCAACGCACGCAATGCTCTTCTTGCCTGACAAAAAAGTATGAAACTTGTTCCATTAGCAAACACAACCTTTATAGTGAAACAAGAAATGAAAAAGACAAAAAGGATATACAGTACCATGTATCCTCTAAATGCTGTCTGAATCTTGATAGCTGCGATCTCTTCCTTTGATTTGCCAGGGAAACGTGATAATGAAGTGAGACGAACAACTTCAGCAGCGGCATGAGCAGCTGCGACGGCTGCCTCTGCAGCATGAGCAGTTGCGACGGCTACAGAGTAAGCATGTCTGCTCTGTTGCTCTTCAGTCTCTTTTAGCTTTGCGTCTTTGGCAACGGAAAGAGTGTTGCTAGGCAGTGAATCTGCTTCACCGGAATTGGTAAGATCTCGCTTCTTGGATTTACCAAACCATTTCTTGGCCTTATGGGGCTTCTAACAGAAACAGAGTACAACAAAGTCATTTCCAGTGTCAGTTTTTGATTTTATCAAAGGCATATGCAAGCATTTTATGGATTTGAATAACCAAAAATGTGAATAATCTTAAATGAAGATAATTTAAGTACAAAAAAACCTGTTCTTTCTTTTGTTTTGATTCTGGACTTAACGCCTTCTTCACAGCAGAGAACCAGCTCTTACCCATTTTAAGTTTTCTTTTCAAATGATCTGCAAATGTAACACCAAAGGATTTAATTCATGATCCAAAATGACATAAATTGGTCCTAAGATTCAAGACATATTTATCCTCAATGTCAAAAAGAAACTAGAAGATTAACAAAACTTAATTCAAGAATACAAAAGCAGAGCAGTAAATGGAAATTATAGACTCACAGATTATGATGAATCAAGCTCGGATTTCTTGAGGAAAGTGAGAGAGAAACCGAAGATTTTTTTGTAAGGACAAAAAAACTCGGAGAAAAAACCAAAACCCTGAAGACGTTTCTCTGTATAGATCAAACGCAGAATCTGGGAGACAATAAATTTTCAGTTTTTTCAGAAATGAGTTAAAGACAAAGAAACACGTAGACAAAATATGAACAGTTATGTAACTGCGTAATATACACGCGTACTTACACTTGAGAAGTGGCAATTACTGAAAACTGGAAGAGAAAGAAAGATAAAAAATCTCAGATCGATTAAACAAAAGAAAGTGAGAATCTTTCCTAGGATTCAGACAAGAAAGAGAAATGGAAATGGAAATGGAAATGGAAGTGAATGGATGGATCTGTGATACAAAATCTGGTAGAGGAAAAGAAGGAAGGAACAGATCTTGAAGGAGAAGGGGTCCAAGGGAATGAAACAGTGCCCGTGACAATAGGTTAAATTAAATAGACTTTTTCTTCAAGTTGGATCATTATATTTCCTATATTTATATCACCAGTTTTTCTGCTAGTTTTTAAAACATTTCAGTTTCATTACTTTACTTATTGGGTTGCTTTCAAGTGTCCCTTGACTAACGAACTGGTATTGTTTTTCAGTGAGTTTTGCTAAAATGTCAGTAAGAAAGATAGTAATTCTTAGAAAATGGTAATGATGTGTATTGCATCGTATAATGTGTTTTGAGACAGCTTTTTGGGTTACTTTCCATATTTAACTGTGAGTTGATGAGTGCTTAACATGTTTATGTATGTTTAACGTTTTAATTTATCACATAAGTCTCTTATTCATCGCATAATGATCTAGCAAAACTAAATTATAAATTATAATTCACATTGTTATCGTTTAAAAAAAAAATCATCCTGTTTTTGAATTGCAAATACATTTATAAAAAATGGTATCAATGAAGATGAATTTTATATTCAAGACTAACACAAACAAATAATAGAAGAGTTTTATTCCGTTACATTTTTTCTTCTTTGGTTTAGACTTTAGATTAGTCATGTTAGAGATATGAAGGCATGGCAATTGAAGAAGCAGAAATGGAGTGCACGTTTATTATTTGTCGGTGGTTGGACTATGATAATAAACTACTCTATCTGTATATCCGTTACATAATCATGGACATAAACTGAATTGAATTGTCGGCAAACTAGGGATATGTTTTTTTTTTTGTTTCTTTCCCCTTCCTTATAATTGTATGAGAGACAATTGTTTTTTGATGATTCCAAAATCGAATCGAATTGATGTGTTCGGGTATTATTAGAGTCGATGAACTGAATTTTTTATATTAAAGGTTTATGGTGAATTTAAAAAAGAATGTGAGCAATAAAGGAAAACAGAGTATGTAAAGAAGTCTGAATGTTTCGGTGTTATTGAATCAAAAGAGATGGATGGCTTTTATAGAAGCCTTACAACGTTCACTACAACAAAAAGCAGAAAACTAAGGAGATTAAAACGGAAACAAACTCTAACAGATTTGAACTTATTCGACTCCTAAAAACTAGCTTGACTTATTCAACTTCAGACTATGTCAAGACCCAACAAATTCCTCCCCTTAAACTGATATGCTTTCAAGCTTCAGTTTAATCCTCCAAACGCCGAACTCCAAGTAAACCTCTAAGCTTCTCAAACTGATCCAACTTGATAGGCTTGGTCAGAATGTCTGCAACTTGCTCATTGGTTCCACAGAAAACAAGCTTCATGACTTCTTCATTAGACAAATTGCGCAAATAATGATACCTGACATCAATGTGTTTCGTTCTCCGATGCATGACTGGATTCTTCGACAACTTGATCGTAGAACTATTGTCACACATGATGTCAATACACTCATCCCCCAAAACACCTATCTCCTGCAATATTCCCTTCAGCCAAACACAGTGACATGCCGAGGATGTTGCTGCGACATACTCAGCCTCGGTGGAAGACAAAGTAACGATGTCTTGCTTCCGTGAGCTCCAACAGATTGCAGCACCATTCAGCAGGAAGACGTACCCGGACGTGCTCTTTCTATCATCCATATCGCGAGCGTAGTCACTATCCGTGTATCCCAACAGATTCAGCTTTGGTGATTTTCCATAAAAGACTCCAAAACCCATCGTACCTTTCAAATACCTCAGAACTCTCTTGGCAATCATCATGTGCTCTTCTTTGGGGTCAGCCATGAAACGTGCGATCAAACACACTACAAACATCAGATCAGGCCTTGTCACCGTAAGATACATTAGGCATCCGACAAGCTGTTTGTAGAGTGTTGCATTAGCTCCTCTGCTTCCTTCTCTTGAAACAATGGTGCCTGGAACGATTGGATTTTTGACAGAGTTGCAATTCCACATATCGAACCTCTCCAAGACCTCCTTCGCATACTTCTTCTGAGATATGTGAATTCCATCACTGCTTTGATGAACCTCCACTCCAAGAAAGAACTTCATTTTCCCCATGTCTGTCATTTCGAATTCTCTCTGCATTGAAGACTTGAACTCTGCACACATAGACTCATCATTTCCAGTAAAGATCAAGTCATCAACATAGAGACTCACCACCAAAATCTTCTTTTCTGTTTTCTTGAAAAACAGAGTGTGATCGTAGCTGCTTTTCTCAAACCCCTCCTTCTTAAAGTAACTCTCAATTCTGCTAAACCAGGCTCTAGGTGCCTGCTTAAGCCCATAAAGAGCCTTCTTCAAACGATAGACCTTGTCTTCCTCCCCTACTTTAAGAAACCCTTCAGGCTGATCTACATAGACCTCCTCCTTCAATTCACCATATAGAAAAGCACTCTTAACATCAAGTTGATAAACATACCATCCTTGTTGTGCAGCTACTGCCAAGAGACTTCTGATTGTATCCCATCTAGCAACTGGTGCGAATACTTCAGTATAGTCAACTCCAGCCGTCTGCGAGTAGCCCTTTGCAACAAGTCGAGCTTTACACTTTTCCACCTTGCCTTCTTCGTTTAGCTTTGTCTTGTATACCCACTTAACACCAATTTTCTTTGCATGAGGTGGTAAGTGTACAAGCTCCCACGTATTGTTTCGTTCGATGGACTGAATCTCCAACTTCATAGCTTCTCTCCATTTTTCTTCTTTCGCAGCTTCAAAGAAGTGAAGTGGATCATCATTGCATATGTAAAGTGCAAAGTTGATCCCAGTTTCTTCTTCTCCAATCACAAAATCCTGCATCCAACTAGGCTGTCTCCTCTCCCTTCTCGGCTGTGCTTCATTTGCAGGTTCTGTTCCCACAACAGCTTCTGTAGTTTCCTCTTCAGCGCCAGAATCTACCTCTGCATTTTCGATTTCTGTGGCTTCCTCAGCTTCTTCCTCACCATTATCCTCTTCGTCAGTCTCTTCTCCATCAAGGGCTCCATCGTCTCCCCAAGAAAGAGTGTTTTGCTCTGCCGTGCTTGTGTTCCACTCCCACTTAGCATCTTCTTCGAAAAAGACATCTCTGCTTACGACTATTTTCTTCGTCGATGGATCGTACAACCGATAGGCTTTGGATTCTTCACTAACTCCAAGCAAGATGCATTTTTGGCTGCGATCATCAAGCTTTATCCGTCTCTGCTCCGGAACGTGAACATGAGCCACTGAGCCAAAAACTCTGAAATAATCAACTCTCGGCTTGAATCCAGACCATCTCTCTTCAGGTACCATACCGGTGACTGCTTTGGTGAAGCTCCGATTCAGTACGTAAGCAGTCCACCGAGCTGCGTCTGGCCACAAGAACCTCGGCATCTCCTTCTCCGATAATAGACAACGAACCATGTTCATGATCGTGCGGTTTCTCCTCTCCGCGACTCCGTTTTGTTGTGGAGTATACGCTGCGGTAAGTTGTCGTTTGATGCCGTGATCTCTGCAGAACTTGTTGAACTTGTCGGAAGTGAATTCTCCTCCCCTGTCTGTCCTCAGCCCTCGGATGACAGTCTTCGCTTCCTTCTCGACAGAGTTTTTGAAACTTTTGAAAGTCTCAAATGCTTCAGATTTATCCACCAGAAAATAAATCCAAGTCTTACGACAGAAGTCATCAACGAGAACGAGCAAGTATCTCTTACCACTCTGAGAAATTGGAGTGATTGGTCCACATAGATCTGCGTGAATGAGCTCCAGTTTCTCGCTTGCTCTCCACTTGCTCTTCTTTGGAAACTTGCCTCGCTGCTGCTTCCCTATGTTGCAGACTGTGCACACCTTGACTTCATCTTTTAGGTTTGGCAGCCCCTTCACCATTTGCTTCCTCTGCATAAGCTGTATGGACTTATTGTTTAGATGTCCAAACCTCCTATGCCAAAGGTTCTCCAAATCCTCTTCTTCTAACTTGAAACAGCTCCCTGAGATTGGTCTCTTCATTGCATAGACCAAAAACATGCGGTTTATGGTCATTTGTGTCTCCAGAATCAAGCCTTTCTGCTGGTGATAGATCTTACATCTTCCGCCCTTGATTAAGATCGTTAACTGCTTCTCCTGCAGCTGTCCGACGCTCAACAGATTGTTGGTCAGATTTGGAACATAGTAGACATCGCTTACTACTTGTAATATCCCTTCAACCTCAAATCTGACTTTTCCCTTCCCTTCAACTGGGAGCCTCGATCCGTTTCCCAACCTAACAGAATGCTTGAACCCTTCATCTAGCTCAATGAACCATGATTTTTCTCCAGTCATATGGTTTGAGCATCCTGAGTCGAGAAACCAGATACCTTTTCCCTCAGCCTTGCTTATGTCCGTGTGCGCCATTAGGAGTAACTCTTCCTCCTCATCGAACTCAACGTAGTTGACTCCTTTCTCCAGACTGGTGCACTCGAACTGGTAGTGACCCTGTTTTCCACATCGAAAGCAGTTGATGGCTGATCGGTTAACGAACGATCTGCCTCTCCCTCGTCCTCTGAAACTGCTTCCTCCTCGGGTCCACCTTCCTCTCCCACGGCCATTCCTTGGCTCGTTCTCTACTTGCAGAACCTGCTCTTCACTTCTTTTCTCAATCACCTTGCTTTCATGGATCTGCAATGACGCCTGCAGCTCATCCACCGTGAGGTCATCAATGTCTTTGGACTCTTCAATAGAGCAAACCACGAAGTTGAAATTTTCGGTGAGACTGCGGAGAATCTTCTCAACGATCTTCACATCATCAATGGCTTCTCCACAGTTTCTCATATCGTTGGTTATCTCCATGACTCTTGCAAAGTAGCTCGCCACTCCTTCTCCACTCTTCATCTCCAAGGTTTCGAAAGTCTTTCGTAGCCTTTGCAATTGTGCACGCTTCACCCTTGCACTTCCTTGATGCTTGATTTTCATAGATTCCCAAAGCTGTTTAGCTGTCTCCTTCTGAGTGATAGTCTTCAACGTGGTTTTGTCGATTGACTGGAACAGGTAGTTCTTGGCTTTGAGATCTTTGAGCTTAGCCTCATCAAGTGCCCTTTGTTGTGCAGGGGTAGGAGTTTCGATGCTTCTCAGATCTTCGAAGCCTGGTTGAATGATGCACCAGTACTCCTTGGAACGGAGAAGATTCTCCATGATCAAACTCCAGTGGTCGTAATCTCCATCGAATTTTGGAACAGCAGGTGTTGTAAAGCTTCCGGCATCTGCCATTTTCTCTGCAGTGTTTTTCCTCTCAAACACTCACACTCACAATATATTTTGCTTCTCAAACACTCACACTCACAATGTATTTTGCTCTGATACCAGATAAAGGAAAACAGAGTATGCAAAGAAGTCTGAATGTTTCGGTGTTATTGAATCAAAAGAGATGGATGGCTTTTATAGAAGCCTTACAACGTTCACTACAACAAAAAGCAGAAAACTAAGGAGATTAAAACGGAAACAAACTCTAACAGATTTGAACTTATTCGACTCCTAAAAACTAGCTTGACTTATTCAACTTCAGACTATGTCAAGACCCAACAAGCAATACATAGACTCAAAACATAACAAAGAAGAAGAAGAACAACAATGGGGAATGAATTAACGAAAGAAACATGCACGAAACTAGGCCGAGAAGGACACAGAAGAGGAGAACGGATTTGGCAAGAACTTGATCGGACTTAAAACAACCGAAGAGACTGAGAAGGGAAGTGCAGCACCATTCCAAGCTAACACCACGGCTAAGGCCTAAGGATATCAAAATTTGATAATTAACTCACCAAACAGACAAGCACATACCAAGTTACGTAATAAAATTGCTGAAACTATTATTTTCTCTTTTTTTTTTTGCATGAAGTCTACAAGCATTGAAATTGTTTCTCTTCCTAATGTATTTTCGGTCAACTTTCTAGTTAGGGATGAATTTTATTCTTTTAAACAAATAAAAAATATTTTATGATGAGGATAATATAATTTCTGCTTACATGTAATGATCTTGTCTCGCTAAATTTGGTTTTCAGATAATACTTTTGAGTTCCGTTTGAATTTTTGGATTTATCAAATAAGTAAGTTTTATCAATCATTGACCAATTTGTAAACCATAGTTATGATGCAAATAAACCATAAAATATATCAAAAGGGCGTTTGGTCTAGTGGTATGATTCTCGCTTAGGGTGCGAGAGGTCCCGAGTTCAATTCTCGGAACGCCCCAATAAGTTTTTTACATTTTTTTTTGTCTTCGACGACGAATCAATTAAAAACGACACGTAGTCCACCTGTTCCGCCACCGCTCTTGCCTCCTCACAGTTACAGTGTCGACGACCACCATCATAGCAATTTCTGTTTCAATTTTGCGGAATTCTTCTACTTTTCTGTTTTTCTGGGTCGTTTTCCTTGTTAATTGATTCAGAGAGCCTGTAAGATGGCTTACCCAGTCCCAGGATTAGGTCAAATCCCCGGCGGAGATTCCCAGTTTCTCCCTGTCGAGGCCGAAGGCATCAAGCAGCGCGTCGACGAGGTTTTAAATTGGGTTGATTCGGTAAACCAAATCTTCTCCTTAGAGCTTTTGTTTCCTATTACTAGAACCAGTAATCTAATTGTTACTCGATACTAAATTAGAATATTTTCGTCTTACATCCTTATGATTCCTTCTTCTTACTCTGAATTGTTAAGCTTTGACTCATATTCTTCAGTTTGCTCTTTCTGCAAAAAAGTTCATAACTTTAGACCGCTATGTAGGATTGCTTCTGATTCTGAGTATAACATGTTGATTCAATTGATGGTTGATTCTTCTTCCTGCAGCTGGAGCACAAACTGAAAGAAGTAGAGGAATATTACTCGATCGTTGGCGTCACAAACTCTGGTAAAGATTCAGATAAAGGGAGACAAGTTGTGGGGATTAGGAAGATCCAACAAGAGGCGGCGCGTAGAGAAGCCGTTGCTGCCAAAAGAATGCAGGACCTCATGCGTCAATTCGGAACAATCTTCCGTCAGGTAAAAAATTCAAACTTTTCAAGCTAAAAAATCAACCTTTTCAAGAAGAATCTGAGATCATTGTATTGGTTTTGCAGATAACTCAGCATAAGTGCGCATGGCCGTTTATGCATCCTGTCAATGTAGAAGGTCTTGGTTTGGATGACTACTTTGAGGTAATCTTTGTTCGTCTCAGCAATTGACTTGACTTGTTGATATCTTCTTCTTTTGGTAAAACGTATAAGTTTCTCTTTTTCCAGCTGACTAAATGCCTTTTTCCTTGTTAGAAGCTACCAAAACTTCACCTTTCCCTTTTGATTCTTGTTGGAAGAACATAACAGCTGACTAAAACTGCGTTTGCCTGACTAAACCACGTTTGCTTGTTATGGAATTGTCTTTGTTCTTGTAAAGGGATCTCTTTTATGAACATGCTTTTATCTGATTGTAGATCATTGACGAGCCAATGGATTTCAGCACGATAAAGAACCAAATGGAGGCTAAGGATGGCACCGGGTACTGGCATGTTATGCAAGTACATGCTGATATGCGGCTAGTGTTTGAGAACGCGATGAAATATAATGAAGAAGCAAGTGACGTTTACTATATGGCGAAAACATTACTGGGCAAGTACGAAGAAAAATGGGCACACTTTCTTCCAAAGGTTCAAGAAGAGGTCAGTAATAATATGTAATGATGGTTCACACTATTCTCTTGATAGAGCTTAGTACCAAGGTTTTTAACCTAAGCGGAACTGATTACAGGAGAAAATACGGGAGGAAGAGGAGAAGCAAGCAGCAATGGAGGCTCTGCTAGCAAAAGAAGCAACTCATACCAAAACAACAAGAGAATTGAGCAATGAGGTTAGTCTTATCGATATCCACGACTCTTTGTTTGTACTATGAACATGTTAACTAACAGCTGATATATACATTACTTTCCAGATTTGCAATGCCAATGACGAGCTGGAGAAGCTAAGGAATATAGTTGTGGGGAGATGCAGGTTGGCCTAATCACTTTTTAATGAATTGTCAACACCTTTTGAGATGTTCCTCTGCTCAATGTATCATAATTTGCTCACGGCGATGACTGATTTGTATCAGGAAAATTACAACTGAGGAGAAGCTTCATATTGGGATGGCATTGGCAAAACTGTCACCGGATGATCTACAGAAAGTGTTGGGTATAGTTGCTCAGGCTAATCCTATCTTCCAAGCTAGAGCAGAGGAAGTGACTATTGAGATGGACGTACTGGTAAAACTCTGTTTTTAAAGCCACTTTTCGTTTGTGGTTTCATGTCGAAAGACCCGTCTATTCTTTTTTCTGTTCTTGTATGAAGCTTAGGTTTCTTGTATGTATGCAGGACGAACCAACACTGTGGAGGCTAAAGTTTTTCGTGAAGGATGCGTTGGAGAATGCAATGAAAAAGAAGAAGGAAGAGACGACAAAGAGTGGAGATTTGAGAAGGGCACAAAGCAATGAGGTTTCTAACAAACGAAATGCGACTAGCAAGTTAGCAGAGAGAAGAACGAAACGGCCACGCGCGTGATCCACAATTCTCCTCGAGTACAGAATAACCTGAAAAGGAAAACAATCTTACTCTTTTGTATAAAGGTATTGTAGTCGTTGTGTATATATCAGAAAACAAAACTAGCTTTTTTTACTTTCTTTCTGGTTTGGATTCTACTAACGTTGAATAATGCAAACCCATAAAAAGCTATGTTTTGGCTTTTGCGATTCTACTGTGGCAATTTTCTTTGTGGTAATAGATATTTTAGTGTTATATTGAAGTCCTCTGTTTCCATCGTCTCCCTACTCTCAGTTTCTGCATGAAAATGTAAGAATTGATGATGGCTAAGAAGAATGGGAATTTATTTTGCTCTCTCAAGCATAGATGGTCTAGTTGAAGGTGAGACGAACTTTCTGATTTGTTTTCTCAATCTATTTCCAAATAAATGCTTTGTTTATGTGTTTAAGATAGTGGGTCTCTTGAAAATGCTTCTTCTTTAATTCCATGTTGAAGTTAGTTTATTGGGGTGGTCCGATGTCCTGATGTCACACAAAGATAATGCAGAAGGCGAGTGAGAGAGTAATTAAACAAGGACTAAAACGAAGTTGTTGAAAAGCATCTTGCTTTTAACCTACACAGACGGAGAGTCACGGAGGGATAATATAATCTAGAAGATTGGGACACACCAAACTTCTGTTAATTTTTTTTCAAAGTCTATAGAACTGGTTAAGGTAAACTAGTCCTTGATGATTAGAAATTTAGAATTCAAGAAAAGTTTTTTTTACCGTCAATAATGGGAAAACATAAACGGAATTTAATATTCTGGTCTAGACTCTAGAAGGGTAGAAACTTAGTGGAAGCTGGGGTGGGGTCTCTTTATCTTTTGTTGACTTTGAAAATTTGATCAAGTCTGGTGAGAAAAATCTTTGAATGATTAGCCAGATTTTACAATAATAATAAACACGGGCGTAGAGGAGCCGCCGTGATCAGCCCTCACATTTGAATATTTGAATAGTAAAATCATCTTTGCACATTAACGACAAAGACTTGGACTTTTTTTAGTATTTTCTTTTAACAAACAGAGAATGGGAAAAGTCCACCTTGGTGTTCTTCTTCCACCTCCTATTTATCCATTTTCTAATTCCATCATCTCTCTTCATCCTTCTACTTTCCCTCTCTCTCTCTGAAGTTTCTTTCCCAACAAATATAAAGTCCCATCAGAATCAGCCTCTAAAGACTCAAACTTTCTTGCCAAGAACACAACTTTACAGAGAAAGAGGCAAAAGGGTAAAGGCAGGATGGATTACAACTCTAATCTTCCGCTAAGCGGAGGAGGGAGTATGCGGCGAAGCATAAGCAGAAGCGTGAGCAGAGCCAGCAGAAACCTCGAAGACATCTTCACCGCCGGCTCCAGACGCACACAGTCAGTCAACGACGACGAGGAAGCTCTCAAATGGGCTGCCATCGAGAAACTCCCGACCTACAACCGTCTCCGCACAACGCTCATGACGGCGGTGGTCGAGGACGACGTCTACGGCAACCAGCTCCTCAGCAAAGAGGTCGACGTCACCAAGCTCGACGGAGAAGACCGACAGAAGTTCATCGACATGGTCTTCAAGGTGGCAGAGCAAGACAACGAGCGGATCTTGACAAAGCTCAAGAACAGAATAGACAGAGTCGGAATCAAACTTCCGACCGTTGAGGTCAGGTACGAGCATTTGACCATCAAAGCCGAAGTTTACTCCGGGAACAGAAATCTTCCGACGCTTCTTAACGTGGTGAGGAACATGGGAGAGTCTGCTCTTGGCTTGATTGGGATTCAGTTTGCTAAGAAAGCTCAGCTCACTATCCTTAAAGACATCTCTGGAGTCCTCAAACCTTCCAGGATGACTCTCTTGTTGGGTCCTCCTTCTTCCGGGAAGACCTCTCTTCTCTTGGCTCTCGCCGGAAAACTCGACGAATCTCTTGAGGTCTCCGGTGATATCACTTACAATGGTCACCGACTCGACGAGTTTGTTCCGAGGAAAACCTCTGCTTACATAAGTCAGAATGATCTTCACGTCGGTATCATGACCGTTAAGGAGACTCTTGACTTCTCTGCTAGGTGCCAAGGTGTTGGTACACGTTACGGTATGACATCATTTCAAAGATTTTCACTTTATAGCTCTGCTTTGTGCGCTCTTGTTGAATGAATGATTCTTGTTGCAGATCTGTTGAATGAGCTTGCAAGGAGAGAAAAGGACGCTGGGATATTCCCTGAAGCTGATGTTGATCTGTTCATGAAAGCCTCTGCTGCTCAAGGAGTCAAGAGCAGTCTCATCACTGATTACACTCTCAAAGTAAGCCCCTTTCCCTCTTCTTACAACTTGGCTCATTGTTGTGTATTATTAGCTCTTGTTCTTGTGGGATCTTGAATACTGACTGTTGCTTTGGAACAGATTTTGGGGCTTGACATATGCAAGGACACAATAGTTGGAGATGACATGATGAGAGGAATCTCCGGAGGACAGAAGAAACGTGTCACAACCGGTGAGATGATTGTGGGACCGACTAAGACGCTCTTCATGGACGAGATCTCAACAGGTCTTGACAGCTCCACAACTTTCCAAATCGTCAAGTGTCTTCAGCAGATTGTTCACCTCACGGACGCCACTGTGCTAATGTCTCTCCTCCAGCCTGCTCCTGAGACCTTTGATCTGTTCGACGACATCATCTTGTTGTCGGAAGGTCAGATCGTGTACCAAGGACCAAGGGACAACATTCTCGAGTTCTTTGAGAGCTTTGGTTTCAAGTGTCCTGAGAGAAAAGGAACAGCTGATTTCTTGCAAGAGGTCACTTCCAAGAAAGATCAAGAACAATACTGGGTGGACCAGAACAGGCCTTACCGCTACATTCCGGTCTCAGAGTTTGCCACCAGATACAAAGGCTTCCACGTCGGCAAACAGCTTTCCAACGAGCTCTCAGTACCGTTCGACAAGTCTCAAGGCCACAAGGCGGCTCTCGTGTTCGACAAGTACTCAGTCTCGAAGAGGGAGCTTCTCAGGAGCTGCTGGGACAAAGAATGGCTGCTTATGCAGAGAAACGCCTTCTTCTACGTCTTCAAGACAGTGCAGATCATCATCATCGCTGCGATCGCGTCTACACTCTTCCTCAGAACCGAAATGCACACACGGAACGAGGCTGATGCAAGCCTCTACATAGGAGCGTTGCTGTTTGCTATGATCGTCAACATGTTTAACGGTTTTGCAGAGATGGCTATGATGGTTTCAAGACTCCCTGTGTTCTACAAACAGAGGGATCTCCTGTTTTACCCTTCATGGACATTCTCTCTTCCCACTTTCTTGCTTGGGATACCGACCTCGATCTTCGAGTCCACGGCCTGGATGGTTGTGACTTACTACTCCATCGGTTTTGCACCTGACGCTGGACGCTTCTTCAAGCAGTTTCTCTTGGTGTTCTTGATTCAACAGATGGCTGCTGCACTCTTTAGGCTGATCGCTTCTGTTTGCAGAACCATGATGATTGCTAATACCGGTGGTGCTCTCACTCTGCTTCTCGTGTTCATGCTCGGAGGATTCCTTGTTCCAAGAGGTGAGATTCCTGATTGGTGGGGCTGGGCTTACTGGCTATCTCCTCTCACCTATGCTTTCAACGCTCTAACAGTCAATGAAATGTTTGCTCCTAGATGGATGAACAAACGGGTGAGTGCTCTTTCTTCTGTATTTAGTTTAGTTTTTACTATACAAAACATAGTAAAGTTTCTGAGTCTCTCTACACTTTGAACATCTGCAGTCTTCAGACAACAGTACAAGTCTTGGAACCATGGTGCTTAACTCTTGGGATGTCTACCATAATAAAAACTGGTACTGGATTGGAGTTGGAGCCTTGCTTGGTTTCGTAATCCTCTTCAACCTTCTTTTCACCGTTGCACTTACCTATCTCAACCGTAAGTTCTTGTGCCTTTTTTTGTATACTTGCTTGATTACCAAAGCTGAAAATGAAAATTAGACTAAATGAAACCTTGTAAACTACAGCTCTTGGGAAGCAGTCAGGTGTACTTCCAGAAGAAGAAGATGAAGACTCGGATAAGAAGAAAGATCCAATGCGTAGATCTCTGTCTACTGCAGATGGAAACAAAAGTAGATAACTATTCTCTTTATCTGATTCTCTCTTTTTGTTTTACTTTCTACTCTTTTGTCTCACTCTGCTCTGCTAATAACAGGAGAGGTCGCTATGGGAAGAGTTGGTAGGAATGCAGACTCTGCAGGTGAAGCATCAAGCGGTGGAGTCGCTAAGAGAGGAATGGTTCTTCCTTTCACTCCTTTGGCTATGTCCTTTGACGAAGTCAAATACTTTGTTGACATGCCTGCGGAAATGAGGGAGCAAGGAGTTACAGAAAACAGACTGCAACTTCTCAAAGGCGTGACCGGTGCGTTTAGACCAGGAGTTTTGACTGCGCTCATGGGAGTGAGTGGTGCAGGGAAGACAACACTAATGGACGTTTTGGCCGGAAGGAAAACAGGAGGATACATTGAAGGAGATGTGAGAATCTCAGGGTTCCCAAAAGTTCAAGAAACGTTTGCTAGAATCTCAGGATACTGTGAGCAGACTGATATTCACTCCCCACAAGTCACAATCAGAGAATCTCTCATCTTCTCTGCTTTCCTTCGTCTCCCCAAAGAAGTCAGCAAAGAAGAGAAGATGATGTTTGTAGACCAAGTCATGGAGTTGGTAGAGCTTGACAGTCTCAAGGACTCCATCGTTGGTTTACCAGGCGTCACTGGTCTTTCCACAGAGCAGAGAAAGAGACTTACAATCGCAGTGGAGCTTGTAGCTAACCCTTCCATCATCTTCATGGACGAGCCAACCTCTGGTCTTGACGCAAGAGCAGCAGCTATTGTGATGAGAGCTGTTAGGAACACAGTGGACACAGGAAGAACAGTTGTCTGCACCATCCATCAGCCTAGCATTGACATCTTCGAAGCTTTTGACGAGCTGATGCTGATGAAGAGAGGAGGACAAGTGATCTACGCTGGTCCCTTGGGCCGTAACTCTCACAAAGTCGTCGAGTACTTCGAATCCTTCCCTGGAGTCCCCAAGATCCCAGAAAAATACAACCCTGCCACTTGGATGCTTGAAGCCAGCTCACTCGCCGCTGAGTTAAAGCTCGGTGTTGACTTTGCCGATCTATACCAGTCATCAGCTTTACACCAGTAAGCTTCCTTCTCTTTATCTTGAATCTTGGATCCTTAATCTTGAATCTTGAATCTTGAATCTTGATTGTTTGTTAAGCATACTAATGAAACTAATGATGATGCAGACGGAACAAAGCATTGGTGAAAGAGCTGAGTGTACCTCCGGCAGGAGCGGTGGATCTCTACTTTGCAACACAGTACTCGCAGAACATATGGGGACAGTTTAAGTCATGCCTGTGGAAGCAGTGGTGGACGTACTGGAGATCACCGGACTACAATCTCGTCCGTTTCATCTTCACGTTCATAACATCACTCCTGATCGGTACCATCTTCTGGCAAATCGGAGGCAAGAGGGACAACTCAGGGGACTTGACGATGGTCATAGGAGCACTTTACGCTGCGGTTATCTTCGTCGGAGTAAACAACTGCTCGACGGTGCAGCCGATGGTTGCAGTGGAGAGAACCGTCTTCTACAGAGAGAGAGCAGCAGGAATGTACTCAGCAATGCCTTACGCCATCTCACAGGTCACTTGTGAGCTTCCTTACGTTCTTGTTCAGACAACTTACTACTCCATCATCGTCTACGCGATGGTCGGGTTCGAGTGGACAGCAGCGAAGTTCTTCTGGTTCTTGTTCGTCAGCTACTTCTCTTTCCTCTACTGGACTTACTACGGTATGATGACTGTCTCACTCACACCGAACCAGCAAGTTGCTTCCATCTTTGCCTCGGCGTTCTACGGCATCTTCAACCTCTTCTCCGGCTTCTTCATCCCGAGACCAAAGATTCCAAAGTGGTGGATTTGGTACTACTGGATCTGCCCTGTGGCTTGGACTGTGTATGGGTTGATAGTGTCGCAGTATGGTGATGTGGAGACGAATATCAACGTCCTTGGACGTGATCCGACACTATTGCCGATCACCGTGAAGCAGTACATTGATGAGACTTATGGGTTTCAGTCTGACTTTATGGGACCGGTTGCTGCTGTTCTCGTTGGTTTCACTGTCTTCTTTGCCTTTATCTTCGCCTTCTGCATCAGAACTCTCAACTTCCAAACCAGATGATGAAACAAGTCTCTTCCTTTTTTTTTGTATCTTTGTAATGTATTATAAGCTCTCTGTTCCACTATGTATTATAGTCTCATAAAATGATTTTTTTGATTACTTTGATTACTACTTATAGCCTTGTTGTAGAGATGATGATGATGACACATGTAATATTTTGGTTTGTTGAATTAAAAACGCAACTTTTTGTGTTGATCCAATTAATTAAGCATTAATACTGGATTAAGCCTATATATAAATGCGATCATCATCTGTGTGCATTGTCTCTCGTTTATCTGAGTTTTGCTGCATGAAAAATGGAAGAATTAGCGGGGAAGAAGAATGGGAATCAAGGTTTGGAGACGGGTTTAGCGGATAGATCCATGTGGCTGATGAAATGCCCGTCGCTCGTCGCTTCTTCTCTCCAGTTTATACCTTTCCCCGACGATCAATACCATCCTCCTGTCGCGAGAGTCGTCCTCTCCATCGATCCTCGCGCTACCGAGGACGAAGAAACCAAAGTAATACGTCTTTTGCATTTTCGATTTCGCGTCCTCTCACTCTCGCGATTCCTCTCCTTCTCTCTGCATGCCTATCTCGTTTCGTCGATTCGCCCTCAGAAAAATTGCATGATTTATTGAAATTTCATCGTCTGAGAAATTTGCTTTAGATTTTGGAACTCTCTAGCTGTAATTTGAGAAATTTGGTAGTATCGTGTGAAAGGCATTTCTGCAAAATTAGAGATCAGAAGCTTTGTTATTGACTCTCTTCAAGCTAGTTTTTACGTTTGATTTCTCTGAAACTTTCTTGCTCGTCACTGAAACTGCGAGTTTCTTTTTGGTGCTAAAACATGTGATTCGATTCTATTGCCTCTGCAGTTCGTAATGGAATTAGCTAGAGCTGAATCTGGAAACATTCCAAAACGTTACGCCTTGGATATGTCAACTGATTTCATCCCAATGTCTGTTTTCTGTGAGTCTTCAGAAGGTTAGTAGAATTCTACTGTCCCTCTTTGTTAATTAATTTACAAAGCTGAGTTTTTGTTTTGTGTTGATTCTCTTGAACGATGTGTCTTTGAGGTGAAGGAAAAATGTCAGTAGAAGGGAAGATCAAAAACAAATTTGACATGAGGCCTCATAACGAGAACATCGAGAGCTATGGGAAGCTCTGTCGTGAAAGGGCAAGCAAGTATATGTGCAAAAACAGACAGATCCAGGTTCTCTTGCAAACATGATTCAAATCAAGATCAAGATCAAAAATGTTTCTCTTTCCATGAACAATTATTGTTTTCTGGTATTCTTGAGCAGGTCATTGATAATGCAAGTGGAATGCATATGAGGCCAATGCAGTTTATCATCCCACCCGCGAATCCTGTATTTATCTTTGCAACACACATTTTACTGTTTGGTTAAAGATGTTGAAATTGTGTATAACTCATTGGTTTTGTATAAGGATAAGAAGAAAGTGCCAAACAAGACATCTGAAATGAAGAGGACAAGAAGGGATCGGAGAGAGATGGAGGAGATCATGTTTAATCTCTTTGAAAGACAGTCAAATTGGACTCTGAGGCAGCTCATACAGGAAACTGACCAACCAGAGGTATGCAAAAAGAGAAATTACTGTATAGTGTAGGAGAAATGAAAAGTTTTGTGTTGCTAATGGAAATGTGATATTGTTGCAGCAATTCTTGAAAGACTTGCTGAAAGATCTATGCATGTACAACAATAAAGGAAGCAACCAAGGAACTTATGAGCTGAAGCCTGAGTACAAGAAAGCTCCACAGGAATAGAGAAACTCTCTTTCTCTCTCTCTTTTTGAATGTGTTTGGTCTCTCAAAAGGCTTTGGATGGTTAAGTTAATAAGTTTGATTGTCTAGTAAAGGCCAGAGCTAGTTATGTTACTTCACTTGTAACTGCTAGCTAATCATGACTATAATAACAAGAAACAATTAATCTTCATTCATATAATTCCATTAATCTTCACAATGTTAACCAATTAATGTTTTAGAAAGTAATCATTTTTCACCAACAAAAAAGCAAAAAGGTCATTTGAAAGAAGAGATTGGGATTCAAGTACTATTTAACCATAACATAATTGAACTTTCCCACTGTCGAACAAATTGAAGATGAGTCATAGGATTGGTTTATTCCGGTCTGGTTCAATAAATTGATTAAATTCTCCTTCAATATTTTGGTTTTCATTTATTACTCGATTTGAAAGGTAAAGTCAAAACCAAAATCTCGCAAGCAAAATTGAAGCCACGCGGTGGTTCCGGTCATGATGTCGCCGCCGCCGCCGCCGCCGCCGCCGCAGCAGCAACGTATCGGCTTTCCATGGCCCGAGCTCAACGATGGTTTGGTATACAAAGATGTCGTCTCTTCTTCTGATTCAGGTATTCCACTATTGATTGCTTCAGAATTTTTAAAAAGTTTGATCGTTTATGTTCCTTCTGTTTTCGTGTTTTTTGATTTTTTGGGAATTTTGAATTCAGAGTTAACGACGGTGTCAGATTTCTACTACACCAAGTACAAGAGCTCAGCTCCATTGCTAGGGTTCTACTCTTCTTCCTCTCTACTCTTTTCAACAATATCGTTTTTTTTTTACATTCCATTCTTAAATTTTTGTTTTCTCTTTTTGTTTCAGGTGGATTCAACGAATCCAAAACGGACAGGTTTCTCTTTATACCACATTTTTTCACGGAAATGCTCACTTGATTCTGGAGAATTTTGTAATTTCATTTCTCGTTTTGCAGATACAAATTGATGGGGAAGTTGTAGAAGATCCCAACACACTCCTTAGGTACAGCTAACAAGCTTTTTCTTAGTAGAATGGTTTTGGCACTTATCTTTTATCTCTTGTGAAATGGTGTGTTATTGTTTCTTTTTTTCTAGGAGTGGTTCGAAGTTAGTTTACCACAGGCTTCCTTGGAAGGAACCTGACACGCCATACTCTCTAGATATTTTGTATGAAGACGATCATATGGTAACTTCCTGCTCTAAACAAAGAAAATAGAGAAAAGTCTTGTCGAGTTGTTTCCTTTGCTTAATGTTTATATACAAGTAATGACCAATGCGGTTTCTTGTTTGTGTTTTCTTTTGGTATGAGTTTAGTAATTTTCGATCTTTTGGTGTTAATAGGAAGTTCCAAATCAGTGTGTTCTTGTTCTCTTAACGTTGATCTCTCAACTTGCAGTGACGTATCTTTGGTGGATTTTATGTATTGCAGATCGCTTTGAACAAGCCTTCTGGACTTCAAGTATTGCCAGGAGGACTTTTCCAGCAGCGGACTTTGTTGCAGCAACTGCAGTGGTGGTTTGGTAAAAAGGATTCTTCCACCGGATCACACCCTGTTCCTGTACATCGACTGGGTAGAGGAACATCAGGTTAGCTTTTCTTCTTTTCATCTAACCAATTAAGATTCAAGTATTCTCTGCATATGTTGCACTCGTCTCTGGGCTTATCAGTATACTCTTTTCTCAGGTATACTTCTCTGTGCGAAGACAAAGCTTGCAAAAAGTAAACTTGCTTCTTATTTTGCTGAGGGAACATCTCTTGTCGGGTCCGGGTGAGTTCATACATGATTTTACCTTTTAACTCGCCTCATTCTTGAAAAAAACCTTTAGTCTTATCGCTAAGGTTTTTTTAGTCAGTGATTCGGAAGACCATTTGTTTCTTGAACTGGTTAGAGTTTCTGTATGTCAGTATGTGTACTTTCACTACGTTTTTAGGAAGTTAACTCTTCATTCTTACAGTAACCTGGATCAAGAGTGTGGAACCGGAAGAAAGATATCTAAGATATATCGAGCACTTGCAGATGGTATAGTTGAAGAAGATGAGGCAAGGCCACTTTCTTGTTTGTGCTGAGAATTCATTTTCAAATGTTTTTTACATGCTTATCTATTCAACTGATATAGCGTGTCTGTTGAGTATTGACAATGCTTCTTCGTTATCTCCATTTTTAAAGGTAGTTATCACACAGCCTATTGGAGTGGTTCGATATCCTGGGGTTGCAAAAGGATTATACGTTGCTTCTCCAGAAGGTTAGTTCTTGTATCTTATACCAATAGCTATATCGATAGAATAGTCCACACTAAATCTAATTTGTGATACATTATTTTTTCGCTCATGTAAGGCAAACCTGCTCTCAGCAAAGTAGCTGTTCTGGAGAGGGACATGCAAAGGAATTGCACGCTGGTTAAGGTCTTTCTTCTTTTTTTCATCTTATTTCCAGTGCCGTTGGATTTTTACATGCCATTAGCTTTCACACTTGCATGTCACACAAGGATAATAACGCAGAAAGCGAACCAAAGCGAAGTTGAAAAAATCAGCTTGTTTTCATGCAAAACAGGTGGAGATACAATCCGGAAGACCACATCAAATCCGGATTCATCTTGCATACAACGGACATCCATTAGTTGGTAAAAAATTCGGTTTCCTTCTGCTCACACATTTAGAGCTACTATTCTGTGCGACTTGTGCATTAGCCTTTCATTATTATTAAATAAGAAAAGTTGGATAGATAGCTTTGAAAGACATGATTTGTATGGATTGTTATGCGACTTTAGTTATTTATCAACCAGGAAATCATGGAACTACCAAATTGCTGGCTGGTGCCTGGTGGTAGGAACTATAATTTGAATACAAAAGGATGGAATTATAATTTGATGGGAAATGAAGCCTTAGTCCCAACTCCAAAGTGATGCTTCGACTAGGTATAGCTGTATGAGCAATATACATGTAGTCGCAGTCTAGGACATGAGATGCTTGTGGCATAGGTTAGGAAGATTTTGCCACGCATAAGTTTACTTTTGGCAGTGGTCGATGTAATGGTGATGTTCACTAGATTTCAGTGCAAGAAAGTCAGCAAACATGAAACTTCGAAACAGATAGCTTACATGTTGAGCAAACTGCAGGGGACCCTCTTTATGCTGCAGGCGGACAACCAAAGTGCTTTGATCCAGATGTTGTAGAAGCTACTACTTTTGCTGAAGATGGGTATAAACTTGGACCCCTTTTCTTCGTACTTTCATCTTCCAATACGTTTTCTAGATTCCTGGCTTGAGATCAATGGTCTCACAATATCTAGCTAACTAGCGTTGTATGATGCAATATAATAGGTAGTTTCTTATGAAGTGTGGATTGGTATAGACTAGTGTTGTAGCATGTGTCATGATTTTAACGAAGCACGTTGGCTGAATTTTTGTGATGCAGAGGTTACCGAAGACCTAATCAAGCTGTTCCTGGGGACTGCGGATATCATCTTCATGCACATCAAGTAGAGCTACCAAACCTGGTGAACACTCTAAAGGTATCAACCCAATCATGCTGAAGCCACAGAAGTCAATCGCTGTCCAGCTCTTTTACCAGATCGAATATTTCATTTATCTAAATCAGCTGATACTCATGTCATTACCGTCCTACAGGTGGTTAAAATAGTGGCGCCGTTGCCACCAATCCTCCAAACAAGCTCCGAGGCAGAAGAAAAAGTCTTTCCTCCTGCAAGTGAAGTTGAATTAGTCTTTTCACTAGACAAGATGTGATGCGAGTCTTCAAATGTTATCCTCCTTGGAAAACATACAGAGAGCTAAGCTTAGCTCTCTCTGTTATTATCAGCAATATTACAAATACAAACAGCAGCTATGAATTTTCTGCAGGCACCTAACTTAAGCTGAACCAAAAAAAAAAATGCCTATATTAACTGACACTCTAAATTAAGAGAGAAAAAGACGTTAAAAAGGTGATATAATACAGATAGGAGGGCAAACAAAGAGTATGCCAATCCTCCAAAACAAACTAATCATGACCCTAAGAAGCTTTTGATTAACGTGGCTGCCTCTGCTACACCATCTACTCCTCCTATGTTACCTTCCTCCTTACCGCTTGAGGCCTCTGCTCTATCTTCCATATGCTTCCCAAAGCTCAGAATTCCACCAGTAGCATCCAACTGAACCTCTGTACTACTCAAAACTTGCTGCTTGAGATGCGTGGTAAAGGCGTCGGGGCAACTTGCCAGCAACTTAGCCGACTCTGGCAACGATGTGAGCCCGGTTTGAATTCTGCTGCCATCCCAGTAACCATAGCTCGTAATAGGAACATTCTGAAGGTGTTGCTGATTAATGTACTGATGTCTCGTATCATGGTCCCTGCTCATGGTTGATGATGACTCGACACTTCCGCTTGGATCGTGTCTTTGTATGCCTCCATTCTCATCAGCGGTTAGCACTGTACCAAACAGCTTCACATCACCATTCTTGTCGAGTCTCTCAGTATCAGGCAAAGTAAAAGAATGGCTCCTGATATGACCAGATCTTCCATCTTTCTGGAATACTATCAGAGGCTTAGCAGCTGAAGTAGTACACTTGCTGAGCGAGAAGCTTTCACCTGTTCGTAGGGTTTTCACAATCAAATCAGATTTAGACCTGCTTATCCTGCTCAGATCTTGCGTGAATGGTCTCTGGGGAATTTGACAAGATTCGCTATAAGTCGCATTTGGGTGACCATTCTGCTCAACTTTGACATGGCCTAAACCCTGAAGCCTCCCACCCAAATCCAAATTTACCTTGGAAAACTGCCAACCCAAGTTATTTGTTTGGACAACTTGTCCAACAAGAGAATTTGGTGACTCGGACTCTGTATGGCAATTGGGATTTCCTTGTGGTATACTGACACCTACAAGGTTTTCCTCAGCCACCGCAATCGGAACATGGTGCAGACACTCAGGATACCTGAAACCTGAAGGTGCAGCTTCAGCCTCAATACCAGTATTTCTGTTTCTATTTGCAGCTTGCATCACTCCATCTTGATTCTTTGAACTCTGTTTAGGCAGTGCAGCACCTTGACCTCCTGAGTCCTTGCGTGAGCTTTCTGTGGGAGTCTCCACAACAATATTGGAAAGAACGCTTAAGCCACAATACAAGGGATCAGAAGATACAACAACAGACGTTAAATTACCTTCATCTATTTCCATTGACAGTAGACAATTGCTCTTACTCTTCTCTGCAGCCTGACACTGGCTCTCAACAGTATTATTGTCAACCAAATCTCTGCCAGGTTCCGAAACTAGTCCCGGGAGAGCCCCATTGATATATGCATTGTTCACGAGATTAATACCATCTTTCAAACGCAAATATGTCAGCCCAGTCTCTTGTTCTGATCTACTCACGCCAGCTTCCACATTTGCAGAGCCTGAATGATTAGCTACCTCCTGACTCATGTTAAAAGGTGAGGTAGGTGAGTTCAAACCCATCTTGACGCTTTCTCCATTATTGCATATGCCAGAGTTACTCTCCATAGCACAAGGGTCTTCCAAGTCACTTCCACCAGCCTCATTGGCATTATCAACACTTGCGGATGTGCTTACATTTCCAGATCCAGACTGTATACATTCCAACCCAAGGCATTTCCGAACTTTGCTAAAGAAAACCCTACACTGGTCCGGAGACCTTGTCTTGACAAAATTCGATATTGAAGCAAAATTCTTGCCATATAGCGAGAAACCCTGTATAAAGGCAGATCTCTCATCATCTGTCCAATGTAACTGGCCCGTTTCCCCGCAGCTCTCTTCCGAACATGAGTCATCTTCTTCATTGCTGTTCTCATTATGTGTAGTATGAGATATCCGAGGTTTTTTTACAACAGGATCAAACTTCAGTTGATCCATACACCTCGCTCTAGAGTTCATGGAAGTCCCTAAGCAAGAATTTAGCTGCTCTGATGACAAAGGACCAACAGCTAAAACATCTTCACGAACAGTTCTCTTGCGAGGGAAATCGAAACTGTAGGAGCACCCTTCAGAGTTATTCCCATCGTGCTGCAATGAATTAGAACTGCTGCAACCTCGAAGAGTGATCCTTTTGGAAGAGATCTGCCTGGTTGATGCGACCTTTCCAGCATTTGCTGCTATAATGGAGACGGCGCCTAAAATATCAAGTGAGGCAGCCCCCAACTCACGTTTCCACTTCTTTTGTGACGCCAACATGTAGGTGTGCTTCCCCTCTTTTCCATAAGCACGCTGCTTCTTTATTTTCCTAAAACAATCAGACTTATGGTTTTTGTAGTAGTACTCAATACAGTCTGCAGTTGTCTTCTGGGTAAGATATGAAGCAATTTTCTTGAAATTCTTCCCGTGCATTGCTAGCATATTCAGGAAAGTCTCCTTCTCTTCTGAGGTCCAAGGATTAATCATTGTTTTTTCCTTTTCAACGTCACATGGATCTTCAATCAGTCCATTGCTCGAGATAAACCTCGACATCACCCTCTCTTTCTCATCCAAAATCATTGCAGGCATTCTCAAAATGTCTCTAAAAGGCTTTAGATGGGTGTCCGGAAGTAGCTTTTCCATATAACTTAGGAGCTCTGCGGTGGGGGCTACACTATCCCTTCTTGAAGCTGCACACGTAGAGTAAAATATTAAAATTTAAAATTCGATGAAAAAAGATACAAGGACTAAATGAATATAACAGTGGAAACAATATTAGAATAAAATCCAAAATCTTAAAAAACTTATTTTAGCATTCAATATTCAACAAACTCGTTAACAAGGAGTGACTTTGAATTTGGCCTGCAAGTACAGAATTATGTCCACTATTTGACAGCTCAGGTGCACAGAGGACATATTGCATCATGGTTCATTGACTGTATTAAATATTTCAAGTCCCTACAACTAAGAAAAATATTTACCTCAGGAAAAGGATAAAACGAAGTAGATTCTCTATAGAAACACATAGCAAGACAGACAAGACCACTAACTACGACAATATAGAAACCGAATTTCATCCCAGAAAAGACAAACCACGACAAGCTTAAATTACGAAGACCAAAAGCAGAGATAAAAAGAGATTTGAGAACTTTACCTGAAGAAGATAATCTCAGGCGTACAGGTTGGGGAAGCTTTAGATGGCCGCTATTCTTTGCATTCGGATATAATTCTGTTTTTCTGTTAGACTTTGACTGGTACTTTGTTAAAGCTAGCTGACGCAGATCTTTCTTCCATGCGAGCTGAAACGCTTTAAACTGAAGGAGTAAAATTTTCTCCCTAGCTCTCAAGAGCTCTATCCTCTCTGCAACTTTTCCCTTGACCTGAGAATCAAACTGCCCTTGACTTAGGCTAGGGAATCTTGAGTCTTCCAACAAACTGAAATCTCTTGGAAGTAATTCTTTAAATACTTCAGATGATTCACTGGCACACTTTTTATTGGAAGACAATAACTTAGCACAGAGTAAGTCTTCATTGGAGGCCATGATGTAATCAGCAGAAGAAAGCTCAATAATTTCCTGATTGGCGAAAGCAGATGTGTTGATCTCTTTGGAAGAAGCAGCTGCCTTCATAGATGGCATGGGCAACATATCTACATCGCCTTCGACAGTGGCAAACGATTGGGCTATAGATTTAAACTCTCCAGGGCTATCTTCAGAAATTTCATCTGGAACCTTGGCTAAAACAGCCTGATGAACAGGATCTCTCACCAGTGTTTCAGCTACAGAGGAAGCTGCTCCGTTAGGACCTAAATTACAACAAGCTTCCTGCTCCTTGGGCACATTTTCATCTCCCTCAAAAGGGTATGAACTGGGTCCAACAACACGGCAGTGTCTTCCCCCTTCAAGCTTTAGCGTCCTATGTTTGTTTTCAAGAAGATCAATTTCCGATTCAGTCATCTCTACAGCTTTCAAAATATCACCTTTCCAGGCAAGTAATCTGTTCATTGAAGTCAAATGAACAGAACTGGAATCGCCTGTACCAAAATCATCAGTACCAAGCAACTCATTGAGCAAACAGCCAAATCGCTCGATTGAGATGTTATCGAGCTCCTCTATATTGATTGGAAATCGTTCCAGGGGAACACTAGACACGGGACTAGGTGAACGGCACATGTTACTGACATCGCTAGCAGCTACAGCAGCCTTCGCAGATGATTTATCTGCAAACCCTGCACACCAAAAATAAAAAGATGGGTAAGTTACATTGTCCCTGTAGAAGTGAATGTATAACAAACAAGTGGAAGACATGATGGATAGAGAAAAGCGAAATCAGTGTTTAAAAGATCAGATACATGACAGAGGAGCGTAAGTAATAAGAAATGTTACGGATAACTCCAAATAGCACAGGAATGATAATGGCATGTAGAGCGATGTATTACAAAATGGACTGTACCTGGTGATGAACTGCAAGCTACAGAGGATGGAGTTGTAGGGGAACCATAATCTGGAACAGTGGCTGCTGTAGGACTTTTATCGGCCATATTTTTGGTCAAAGAGTGCAGTTCGTCTGTACCATTTTCCAACATAGGTGATCCATCTTCGTTGGTGTAAACATCAACTTTCTTTTTCTCATATTTTGCGAGGCCCTCACCCCACCCAAGTCGTTGTTTCTTTCTAGAATTCGTCTCCTCAGGAAGTTGAGTAGTTGTGGCACAAGCAGTAGCATCTCCTGAAGAAGATTGAGTCACGGCAACAACTTTAGGAAGAACCTCATTTTTCCGATCACTAGATTCGACAGCCCCCGCGCTTTTCAAGCTACTTGAGTGACTAAAACCAGAACTCTGAGACGCAAAACTGCCAGAACCGGTCCATACTGGAAGTTTTCCCATTGCTCCCAGAGGACTCTCCTTCCCATTTTTCCTGGCACCGTCTAAATCACTGATTCCATGTAACCTATTATCTTGCGGGTCTTTCAGGTGAGGCTGTTCCCAAGTACCCTCTACCTCTGCATTGAGGATTGGAGGATCTAATGAATTATCATTAGCTACTCTTCGACCATACATCAAATCATTGCATTGCTTTGCTGGAGAGCATGACTTATTGCCGTAATTGTTCTCCGAAGATGGCCGTTCAAACAAGCTAGGACAGTCAGAATGAGGATCTGAAGGAACTGATAGCCTTTGATCTGAAAATCTCTGCTCGTTTCTAAACTTTAGAGTCCGTACTGGGTTACAGAGCTCAATGTCCGGCTGATGAGTGGAGTTGGCTGGATCCCAAGAGTTCACCACATTAGTATGAATATCCGAAGTATGTGGTGGCCTATCATCAACTGACCTCCGACCATTTCTAATACCAACTGGCCTCTCAAAACCTCTAGAAGATCCGTTGCTCATCTCCCATGTATTGCATTTCCAGTCCTTCTGGCTGAAAGAAACTCGATCATCCCTGCAATTCCTGGTATATCTCCAGTCTCCACGTGAAGCTGATGGTCTGTAGTAGTCATTTTCAAACATCCGGGCACTGGACCGAGAAGGTGTGTATCCATGACTAGTCTCCTCCACAAACTGGTGCCGCCCACCTTGCTTACCATGACCTTCAGAAAAAGAGGAAAGGAAATTATAAACTAAGATCCATCTTCATCCAAAAAATATAAAATAAGGCGTCTCCACAAACTCTAGACTTCTACCGCTGGAAAGACACATTTAACAATTCCCCGAGAGGAAATCAAACGTAGACCCATCATAACACAGCAAGAATTCAATTTCAATAGACAACCAAACTTCCCTTAAGCCAACACAGGGGTGTCAAATCTACCAGTGAAAAATAGAGATGTATAAAACTAAAACTAACAACACTTCTACGGCTGGAAACAAGTCCTAAATGAATCAGGTTCTTTTATCTGTATTCAGATTTACGAGCAAAAAACTAACTCAGCGTATGTAACAATCCTCATCAATTCACTTCCTATCAATCTTCAGAATTGTGGTAGCTCTAAAAAATAAAAAACCCTAAATTGTGATACAGCAATAGCTCAAATTAAAAGAAACACAGATATATGCCTCTAGATCAACAATCAAAACAAGCAGGAAACCTATATATCGCCGGAATTTAATCCCTAATTAGCAATAAAAGATACAAAAAAATATATAGAAAAGAGGATTAGGTCTTACAAGAAGGCCTGCGGAAGTCTCCAGATCCCCAACGTGAAAAATCTCGGGGACCATGGTGAGAAGAAGGAGTAGAAGGCGAATCCCTCCATCTGAAAGCCGAATCGAAAGATGGTTCAGGCCTCTCGTGCTTCCTCTGCCTCACGAGCTCCTTCCGATCCCACGATGCGTGATCCTGCGGCATCAAATTATCCAGAACAATCGCATAAGAGTAACCTTGAACCCACTCCAGAGTCCGCCCGTGACCAAAACGAGATAAAAAGGGCGGTGGCCGAAAAGGGGGAGAAGCTGAATCAATGAGCCCCGTCTTCCATAAATACTGAAACCAAATCAGAGGAGATATAAATAGATGCCGGAGTTAGAGACTAGGGTTCCGTCAATCTGAGATTAAACGGAGATAGCCCAAAAAGGCGGAAACAGAATCAAACAAGGAACCTGGGAGGAAGGCGAGCTGCAATCACTACTGAGAGAAGGGAGATTCCACCGGTGGAGACAAAAGCTATAAAGAGAAAGAGGCTTCCTTGAATTTCGGGTCTCAGAGAAAGTGAAATTGTTTTTATCAGGGCGATTTTTCTCTCTGTATTAGCTCGAACAAGAGGAGAAGAAGAGAATGGAAGAGAGATAGAGAGAAAAGAGAAAACAAGGAGAGAGAAAATCCCCGTAACCTAAAGACGCCAATAAAACCGTATTTCAATATATTTTTGGCGTCCGCACTATTTTTATATGATTTACACCTATTTAAAAATCAAATTTTTTTAAAAAGGAGAAAAGTAAATGTGGCGAAAAATCAAAGTGAAAATACTTTCTACTTATTTACCACAAGACTTTGTCTACTACTACTAACTTCGATCTACATTACAAGAACTAACCAAAGTATTAAATCGAAGATAAATAAATTTAGCTATCATTATCTCTAATTAATTAGTAATCATTTACAACCAATGAGAACAGAGAAAAAGTATTTTATTAGTAAAATTAAAAAATCTTAAGAGAGCAGTCATTGACTTATGGAGTTGATTTATTAAAAAGAGAGAGAGACGGCTTCACACCGCAGGCTCTCTACACATCAGTTTTCTTTAAATTTTTCAGACAATCTTCGGGTTCGCAGATCTTTGTCTTCTTGGTGATGGCGCATCAAGACAACAACTTGGATCCTCGGTATAGTTCTGTCTGTTTTCCAAATCAAATATTCTCCTTTTGGCTTTTTTTACTTACCGCTTCCTTACTTCCAACAACCATTTGCAATCGAATCACATTTTATAAATCTAGTTGATCTTTGATCAGAGGAATTTTTTATGGGCTCATCAGTTTTTTTTGATTCGGTGCATATGATAGGTCGATTGATTCAGACTTACAAGATCCGACTTCAATGACAATTGAGTTTCTTCGTGCACGTTTGCTTGCTGAAAGAGCTGTTTCCAAGAGCGCAAGAGCAAAGCTTGATGGGCTTGCTGATAAAGTAGCGGAGCTGGAGGAACAGCTCAAGATTGTGTCTTTACAGAGAAAGAAGGCAGAACAAGCAACTGCTGATGTTCTTGCAATCCTTGAAGAGAATGGGTTTACTGATGTCTCTGATACTTATGATTCAAGCTCTGATCATGAAACCTACTCTCACACAAATTCAGGTAAAGAGTTTTGTCTATCTCAGTGGAGGAAAGTTTCTGATTTAGAGGTTGATAAATGAGATCAAACAATTCTCAGCATTGTTAATTTGTTTGTTTCCTAGTGTCTGGCAAAAGCATATCCTGGAAAGGCCGCAGGAGAGAACCAGGTTCTTCCGACAAGATCACGGAAATTCGTAACAGGAGACAGAGAGTTTTTGACTCGGCTTACTTTTCCTCGGCTAGACATCGTCAAGGAAGATCTTGTCGACAGATAAGACGCAGCGAATCAAGGTATGTTTATGATCCTCTGCTGCTCAGTGTTTTATGAATGACTATTATTGTGTTCATGCTAATCAAAAAACAAATTGTGCAAAAATTTGCCAATATGCATGAGATTGAATATTTTGCTATCTCTTATCAAGCACATGATAACTCGGCTTGATGTATTTCTTGGTCATGCTATTGTAAAATTACTTAACTATATTCATATTTCTGAACGTTCCAGGGTTGTATCTGAAGATCATAAGAGAGATGGTAATACGGTTGATTTTCAAGAAACCGGAGTTCGCACTGAAGGGCTTTCTAAAATGAGCGAAGAAGCATCCAGAACTGTTGTTGATGTTACTCTTGTGAAAGGAGACGAAAGTTTGCAGAGGTTGTCAAGTTCAAACGGTTTAGAGAAGGGAAACAGTATGGACATGAACTTGGAGAGAGCGTTAAAGAACCGTGCACGAGTTATCGGATCTTTTGAAGATATGGAAGAGACTCAAAAGGAATGGGAGAAAAAGTTCACAGAGAAAGAGAATAAATCCTCTGCCCTGGTATGCCACATGTCTCAGTCTTTGACCTCTGGAAAATATTGAGTGATCTTGTGAATATAGTTCACTAGTTGTGATTATGGTAAATCTTGCAGGATTCATGTGACGTAGGAAACCATTCAGATGTGACGGATGAAAGTAACGGAGACAAAGCCCAATCTCATCTTCAAGGTTCCTCATTAGTTCCTTCCCTCCATGACACTACAAGATCTATAGCCAATGAAGTTGGCTTTAGGGAATCATTTGACACTTTGCCGCATGGTTCGCCTAATAATTCAGTAACACCACCACCTGATCAGTCCTGCAAAAGTTGCATTTCCAAATCTGTGGAACAAGATGCTTCTCCTTCTGAAGACAAAGGAAAACGTATTGCTGAGTGTTCCCCTCCTCAGAGCTGTATTGAACCAGCTACATCAACTACTCGGTCACCTCCTTTAACTCGACCAAACTCGGGAGGCGGTTCCTTTGCTAGTCAAGCCACTACTACCATCCAGAATGTAGATTATCCCTTAGTTCCAGTTGCAAAGGAGAAGTTTAATCCTCCTGATACGGTGCTCACTGCGCTAAAGCAAGCTAAGTTGTCTCTGCAAGAGAAAGTCAATAGCTTACATATCAGAAAACCTGAGTATCTTTCTGAAAGCTCCTGTCCTTCAACGCCAGGTTCCTATATGAACACATACGCACTACCCATAGAGGCACCATTTGGTACCAAACCATCTCTCCCTGCTTCTAACGTAGAATTTCCTGTTGGCTGTGCTGGACTTTTTCGAGTACCCTCTGATTTCTCACCTGATCCATCAACGAGGAACAACTTTCTAGCTACGAGGTCTCAGAGAGCTCTGGTCAGCCATATACCTGAGCGAGACATTCCCCAATTACTAGACACCAGTCCTCCTTTGTCAATGGATGATCGCCTTTTAACCACCCCTCCTTACATCGGTGGACCAAAACTATGGGCAGGGTTCAGGCCAGATGGTCAACCGATGGTTGATGCTCAAGAATCCAGGCTCTATAGAGGCTCATCAAGTGTTTTAGGCAGTGAAATCTCTGGAAGTAACCAAGTATCCTCAACTAGCTTCAACTTTGATAGACAAGTAAGTACATATACTCCCATGTCACCTACTCAGAGCTTGTATCCTCCTGATTCAGTTATGCGTAGTAGAGAAATGTATTCGACTCCTTATTACACACGCCCGGTTGCTCTGCCTCCTACTGGTGGTTCTGGTGACGGCTTGTTTAGGTGAGTATGATGATGTGATCAACACTCTACCTCCTACTGGTGGTTCTTAGTAGAGAGTTGTTGTTGTATACTCTGTATGTAGACTATATCAGATTTGTATGAATTTGGGAGAGACCAAGTCAATTAACTATAGAAGAGGCAAATGGTACTGTATGTATGTGATTCATAACTTTGTAATTGTAGGACCTTGTTTGTTAACATGTACTATTAATTATTAAATCAAGTTTTAATGATATATGTTCGTGTGCTTATTTTACAAGTGAATAACGGAAACGATGATTAATTACTGTCGCATTCTTTTAAGGTAACACAAGAAGATGATGAGATTAAACCAGGAAAAGAAAAAAAAAATTGCGGGCATAAGAAGAGAACGATAGTTGCTTGAAGGAGATTTTACTCAAGAGTCGAGTACATGGAAAATAAGAAACTTTCACCCTAAAGTTGTTGGTGCTTTTGCTATACAGAAACCAAAATAGGCAACGTACATCTTCTTCGTGAAATATGACTTAGTCTTCGTGTTGATCATCATCACTGTCACCACCTTCCCTATGAGAAGGCTGATCATCATCATCCGTCGCATCCTTTTTGTTACTTCTCTCGTTCCTCTCATTCCATCTCGCCCACGCCCACTTCAGGACAAGAAACCCTCCAAGTGCATATACCTGAACAAAATAGTTTCAAAGAACATTCTGCTGAATCAAAATCTTAAAGGTTGCAGGCTTTTAAACACCATCAGAGAAAATTCAGTCATGCTACTCAATAACCAAGCGATTCATTGAGGACATAAATCAATTTCCGTATAGAATAAGAATAAGGGAGCAACGGGAAGAGGGCCTGTGAGCACAAGATGTATGTTTCTCTTATAACTAATGCTAATGGGCAGCTAACTACTCCGTGAAGACAGAACAGCCAGCTAATTTTAAAGGTCCTTATAGCGTTCTAATGCATGCAATTGTATATAGAGACAGGAGCAAAGCAAAAGCTGCAATCACTTTCAACGTTCACACTCCAATTGACCAAAATCAATAAAACGTTTACAAACTGTAGGCACTTTTGCAAATCGAGAAATCAAATGTTCTACATGTTGAAGACTAAAGGACACAGAGATGCCTACAAAAGAAAGTCAAAGAAGTCTTCATGGACTTAACAATAGAAGAAAGGGCTCGAGACTGCCTATTGGTAGAGATAAAGGCCAGAACAGTTTCAAGCTAAGAGGAATCAATAATCTAAGTCATAGAGAAAACATTATCAACATCTGCCATAAACAGTATTGGTCCCTACCACCTCATAAAGAACATTACTGAGTTGAAAAAAAGCTCCCAATTGAAAGCAAATCAAAACCACTATTCCACGGTTGTTCATCTAATAAGCAGAAAAGTCCACAGCTTTAGAGTTACCTGCCAAATGACGAGGTTGTTGGAAGTCTTGCTGGAGCTGACCTCAGCTTCAACCTTCAGTGGCTCAGTGTTCGTGGGCGGATTGTAAGGGAAGGAGACGGTCTCGACCGTCGAGTTCTGACGATCCTTTTCGCCGGTGGGTTTGGGAACACCGGCATCAATAACAGCTGGAGGAGCCTTAGGTTGGAGAAAGGAGAATATATTGGTCACGAAATCGGGTAACTTCAGGGGAGGAGAATCCGAGCCCTGAGGACGTTCGTCGGCTTCAGCCATTGTCCACCGCACGAGGTTTGAGAGTGTTTAGGTTTTTTTTGAATCGGCGGAGGATTAGGCTACAATTGTTCTGGTGGTCACTTCTCTCTGCACTTCTTCTCTATTTATGACACGTGTCTCCTCAAGTTTTGTTTGTATTAGCCTAAACGGGCCTAGAAAAGCCCAATCCTATCCTAGACGAATTGGCCCAAAATTAAAAATGGAAAATCAGAGATTGCAAACAACGAACCAATCAAAACGCACCGTCCTAAATGCCGTTTCCTGCTACTACTCCTCTATCCGAACCAGAATCTGAGAAATTCGTGTTCAATTTCAATTAGGCTCCAGAGGGAAAATCAAGGTTCGAAGACAGAAAAAGTTTGCAACTTTTAGGGTCTTCATGTATCATCCGACGAGGGGAGGTGTTCGCGGTGGTCGAGATCGTAAGTTTTCAGATTTTGCTTCTATTATTACCCGATCCGAACATCAAATTTCTCAACTTTTAGGGTTTCATGTAGCATCCAACTCAATCTATTCGTTTTTCATCAACATTCTAGTTGAAGATGTAGATTGGGTATAAGGAATTGTGAGATGAGCTGAATTTTGATAAGAAGCGTTGCCATAGTTCTAGTGAATCGGTTAAATTCCCTTATTATCGGCCTTTTTACAGAACTCTGATTTCCTCCGTTTTTGAGAATTTGTTTTCGAATCAAGATGTAGAACATTAGCTGCGCTTAGAATGATTATGCATGATGAAGACTGTATTACTAATCAAACTTGTTTTATAAATGTGCAGAATTTAGTTGGGATGAAGTGAAGGCTGATAAACATAGAGAGAACTATTTGGGTCACAGTGTCAAGGCCCCTGTTGGAAGATGGCAAAAAGGTTTGTTTTCTTATTCCTCTTCTCTTGTTTCTTCATTTTTTTTGTAGATTAATCTTCAATGTAAAACTCTGGACTGACATTTTATGTCTCTGCGAATAATGAACAGGTAAAGATCTTAACTGGTATGCTAAAGATAAAAAGCAAAAGGGCTCCAACACTGACGCTATAAAAGAAGAGATTCAAAGAGTTAAGGAACAAGAGGAACAAGCCATGAGGGAGGCTTTGGGGTTGGCACCAAAGTCCTCTACAAGACCACAAGGCAATCGCCTTGACAAGCAAGAGTATACTGACCTTGTCAAGAGAAATTCAACGGCAGAGGACTTAGGTGCAGGGAATGCTGATGCAGTTTGGGTTCACGGTCTTGGCTATGCAAAGTAAGTTCCTTTTTTCTGAGTGCCTATTGTTTAACTCTGTTGATGTTTTGGTACTTTACCTTTGTCCTTCGTCTCACATTTCTTTCTGCAACTCTGTACAGAACGCCACGACCTTGGGAAGATCCCAGCACCCTTACATCCTCTCAGAAAGAAGACGCAGGGCCAGCAAGTTTGCCAGCAGATACAACAGGGATCAAGACTGTTGAAGAGAGACCGGATGATGCTGAGAAGGACCAAAAGAAAGATAGGCATGAAGAAAGGAAACCAGCGAAGAGAGAGAAGGAAGATAGACATGAAAGACGTGAGAAACGCGAGAGGCATGAGAAGCGATCCAGTCGTGATTCAGATGATAGGAAGAAGCATACGAAAGAGGATTCAGATGATAGGAAGAAGCACAAGAAAGAGAAGAAGGATAGAAAGAGGAGGCATGACTCTGATTCCGATTGAGTTGAATTGTACCATGATGTATCTTTTTTCTCTCAGGGGTAAAGAATGCTAGGTTCTTGTTACCAATAATCAGCTGCCTCTTTGTAAGATTTGAATCTGTTGCTCATTTCGCTTTCACATCATGTAGTTAAGATGGAAACTATCAAATCTGTTAAGTGCTGTTGAATATTGATGGAAATTACTCGGAGAACTGAATCAAGGTTTCATTTGATGTTTATAAGTTATTACAAAACCAGGCTCACGTTCGAAACCATCTATATTATTGAAACAACACTTCACTATATCACCAAAGCATTAGGCAAAGCCTGGTCTACAAAGAGAAAAAGAGGCGTCAAATTGCTTCAGAGAAACGTAAATCAGCAGGGCCTGGTCCCAATATTCCTTTCTGTTCACTAATCTTCCCTAGTCCTTGTGATGAATCTTCCGCAGGTGCACTTGTGTCAGTGTTCACTGACATTTCTCTCTGCAAAGTCGTGAAGAACCATTAAAAGAATTGGACCAAGAGATAAGACTGAAGCAATTGTTGTCAAACTAAAACATGAATTTCCCAATCTACACTAGCAAGACGCATTTTTCTCAAGTGAAATAGAAGTTCAGAGTAATTCTACTTTTATAAAATGAGATATGACAAGAAAAAGGCACTTGCCTCATCATGATTATTGGAACCCTCTAAAGTTATTATTGGGGTCGTTAGAGGAGGTTCAAGATCTGGGTCAGGCTTCTGAAATATGAAGGTTGCATAAAGACCTGCACAAAAGAAGCATAAGGAACTAAAAAGTATCAAAAATAGATAAGATTAGATAAGATAAGGTAAGATGACATACGATGACGGAAAGTTACCTAACAAGTCAAATGCCCGTGGAAGAAGCTTTCCCCTGGAGTCAATGAAGTTGGGGCCAGCATTCATCAGCAAGCTTGTAAATTGGGCTCTGGCAATAAGACATGAACAGCATCAGCAAATGTAATACAACCTTAAAAAGAAGCAACAATGATACACAAAAGCTCATGATGAGACTCAGAATCTGTAGGCATTGTAAGACTTTGGTACCTGTTATCATCGTAAAAATCTGTTAAACTTTGAATCTCCACATACTCAAGGCCAGCCTCCCTTGCTAACCTGAATAACAAACACAACAATAACTAAAAATTAGAAGACTGTTGACATGGTAATGACATACCATCAAATTAGTGTTGTAAAGGAGAGATCATGGTGCAAGAGAACCCACCTGATTAAGCTTGGAAAGTGAACCAAGCAATGGTCTTCAGAAGCGTTGTCACCAGAAAATTTGAGCTGGTACCTCTTTCCAAACAGAGGAAATCTGAGTACAACATGGCAAACAGTCTAAGTTCAGGAAAGGAACTTGATGGCAAAAAATGATTTTTTTTTTCTCTCAGAAAGATGTTCACTTTTCTTCCTCCAATTCGAAAGTGATCATGTAACTCTCAGACCGAATGTAGTTGGGGAAAACATTAGGCTTCGTCCCTCCACTCCTATTGTGGTATGCTTCTACATTTTTCTGGTACTTTGCCCTGTGTGACCATAATGTCAAGGAACTCAGTCCAACTGAACACAATATATATATATATATATATGTGCAGTCAAATGTTGAAATTGATGAACTTAAAATCTCAGTACCAATTCACAGGAACCATATGACAACTGAAAAATTACATATTGGAGTTATCTAAACAATTTCACGCAGTTTAGGTACTTATTTTCATACCATATTGTAGACGAGTCAGGAGTGATACCGAAAAAGTAACCTCCCGGTTTCAGTAAACATGCAACATTACTTAAAAGTCTTCTCGCACTCTCCTCAGTTTCAAAGCATAACTAAAGAAAGAAGATTTGCAAGGAATCAGTCCATTACATCCTTGATATAATACATTTCCATAGACGCAGAGTTATTCAAACGACAAAAAATCACAAAACCTGGAGATGGCGCCAACAAGAGACTAAGTCAGCCTGCCCGACCTTCTTCTGTAGCTGGAATTCAAGATCGTCCTGTCACACCAATGAAGCAGTAACTAAGAAATGGTGCTCCAGATTGCTACACATGAGAAAAGTCTATCCAACAAAGAAGGTCTCACCTTGGAAGGATCAGCTTCAAAGAATTCCACATTGTAATTCTTCCTTGGACTCTCCCAAGCTTCTCGTGCGCAAGAAATCTCAGAAGACGATGCATCTAACGTTATAACATATTCATCCAAACAGAAAAAAAGAGAGTGAGAAGCCTCAAGCCGTACTGATATGATTACAGTGTATAACACTGAGTAGATAAGTAAAGTATTAGAATACCAATTCCTATGTAGTGACCAATCGGAGCAGCTCCCCACTTGTCGATGTCGGGATCTCCGCCGCAGTACAGCTCGCAAACCTAGAAAACGCAGAGAGAGAGAGGGAGCTAAAGGATGAGACTTTGTAGAGGAAATGGAGTTGTTGTTGTTTAGGGGAAGAGGGATTGTTTAGATACAGTGGTATAAGGATGGGCGAAGATGTTGATTATGGCCGTCTTGGCGAAATCGAAGAGGCGGTGATGACTCTGCTCCGATTTTGAACCCGCGAAGCCGCTCATATTTTCTTCTTCTCCGGCCAAATTTTTCAAAATTACATATTTGGCAACTGATTTATACTTCTTTCTATTTGTTATCCCAATATATGCATTGCAATCCTTTCTTTTATATCGTAAAACAAGAGCGAATTCCAAAGCAATTTCTTGACCGCATTGCTCATAACAGAATTTGGAACTTTTTTTCCTAAATGTTGTATATAAAATTTGTAATCTGAAGACTAAAGTCTTGACGAGCGTATTTCAAATGTAGAATTTTGTAGTCGTTTATTAGGGGGCTAAAAACAACATTTGACAAATGAAAACTAACCACATATTAAAAACCATGATCACATATACGAGGGTAAATTGCTTTTTATCATTTCATTATTTCACCTGTTGTGTGTGATTGACAGCTGAAACTATTTATTTCTCAGAGGATTGCGCAAACAAAAAATGATAATTCATCAAGTTACCAAACTATAGGATGAAAACCAAAACCAAAACCAATTTTTGGTAGTAAGGGAACCAAATGGAAAAAATACGAAAAACAGTTGAATCTTCTGGATGTGCACGTGGGGTCCAAGGTTTATTAAGCAGATTCATCAGATAAACAGTTGAATCTTCTCACAGCAGAAGCCTTCGAACATCCACAAAGTTTGAGCGCAATTCAGACAAAAACGAAGCTGAAACGAAACCAATTTCATAAAAGCAGTGAGTAACAAAGAAGAAACACAGTGAATGAATGATAGCAATACAGAAACTACTGAATGTTGCATTACCTCCAACTTGTCCGTCAAAGATCCGATGATCAGCGGATAATGTTACATTCATTTTCGTTACAACAGAAGGCTTCTCAGTTCCTGAAACGAAAACAAAAAACTTTGTCATAACCTCATCAAAATAGCAACCCAAAGTTAAAAAACCCAAGAGGATTTACTGTCTCACCATCTATTCCAAGAATTGCCTCAACCACTTTATTTCCTCTACCAACTGCTAGAATTCCAGACTGCAAGACAATCGATGGTCCTCGGTTTATTATCCAATAACACATGTGCATATCTATAAAGACTATACTAAATCTTGCACGACAAAAGTCGCAAACATAAAATTAAGAGTGCATCGTTAAGGCTATGACTACCTGAGGGGGGTTAATGATTGCGCAGAATTGATCCACAGGATACATTCCGAGATTTGAAATACTGAGAAACGATAAGGACATGGTTTTCTCAGTAAGTACGTTAAGTTACACAAATTTTCAGACGATGCTTAAGAATTCAGAATGATGAATACCTGAATGTCCCTCCTTGGAACTCATGAGGAGCAAGCTTTCCAGATCGCGCCTTTTGTGCCAGCTCCTTAACCTGCTCCACAAAATCAATAAAGAAATCAATTTTATAAACTATTGATAAGCAGCATATGACATATGGTGAGAACTGATCAAACAAGTGCACTCCTCGATAGCCTGGCATATTCGTTAGACTTCGTCAGAAAATTATATTACCTCTAAGGAAATAGCAGAAATAGATTTCTGGTCTGCGTTCCTGATAATTGGAGTCATTAAGCCCTGCAACACATGCCAAGAAGATGAGGGATACACTATTCAAGTAATCCGAAAAGCTAACACAAAGAGAGTTCATTACCTTCTCCGTTGCAACTGCAATTGATATGTCAACATCCTCACACATAACAATCTCTCCTTTCTCAGCATCCCAGAAAGCTGCCAGAGATTAAGACAAATCACTTTAAACAACTTAAATGAAGGTTTAAGCTAGCACAAGGAGAGAAACCAGCCACATGATTAGAAACCTAAGATCATTACATCAACCTCAGTGTGAAAAATATCCTACTCGTCCTATAACCTGAAAACATGTTTACTAAATATTTTCAGATGCCAATGGCATTGCAACGGTTATTCCAACATGAGTGATTGCCTTATAAAGGACGAATGTCTCATCGATATGATTGGGGATAAACCATGGTTTAGTTTACGAGTTGAATATAGTTTCTCACCATTAGCTTGTCTTACATTCCTCAGTGCGACTGCCACTGCTTTAATAACTATGTCATTGACAGACACTTTAACGCCATGGCTTTCTGTAGATAATGAAAACCACAGTTAAATCAGAGCCTTCCAAGTTGTCAACAAATACAAGGAAGTGGGATAGAAAGCAGTCTACAAACCTTGAAGTTCTTTTCTAAATGCAAGAAGAGGGTCCAATACAACATCTGCAGCCACACTCAAATGTTTAACAGTAAACAAAATACATAAAGGACATACAAAGTTTGTGAAAAACCAACCTGATGATAAATACAAGTGGGGTATCTTCTGTTTTGATTCCAATAAACGTTTAGCTATAATCTGCCAAGTGGGAATAATCAAACAGAAGTCAGGATTTCATTATGATCCCAGCAGAAAAGTTCAAAGCTAAAAGTATGTTTTCCTTGGGT